CCCCCCCCAAAAGCTTGCCGACTGCTTTGCTAACTACTACATATACTGTACAATGTAAGACTACAACTAAGCTAACGTAGATAAATAGATACACTATATATACACAATATATTTGTTAGGTTCAAATAAAGTCACTTCCCTCCCTATTAGAGGCTGCGGAATCAACCCTAGGGCTCATCATCCTCACACCTTGTCCTTGCTGCCCTTTCAGCGCCGTACTAGCGTGCCCATTTTGATACTGTCCCGCCGCCTCCTGTTCTTTTACATCCCTTCCATTAGCATTTTTCTCCCCAGGGCTGATTTCCAACCAGGACTCATCCCCACTGTCACCCTTTCCTACATTCTTTTTTCCATTATAATTACCACTAGCCCGCCCGTAATCCTCATTGTCCTCTGCATCCCACACATCCCCAACTTGTCCAGGTCGTGGTGAAGTCTCCACCTTGGCCGGCACAGGTGAATTTAATTCCTTTGTTGTTGTTGTGGTGGTTGTGGTTGTTGTTTTTGTTGGTGATGGTACCGCCACCTCCTCTTCATGAACCTCAGCAAGCTCCGCAGCCATCAACTCCCGCATGATACTCAGCCCTTCCTTGCTTTCGGCTTCGTCGCCCAGTCCTTTATTCAGTCCCCAAGCAGTCATAAAGGCCGTGATGCCGCGGTAGTTGCGATGGAGCCAGAGCATCTCTTTGGAGGAAAGGCTGGCGCGGGGTCTCCAGCTGGGGGTTGTTGGTGTTGATGATGATGGTGTGGTTCTACCTCTAGAGGAGGCAACAGAAGAAGGTCCCTGGACGATGGGGGTCGGGGGAGTGATGGTGGGTGAATAGAATCTGTGTTGTTGGAGGGGAGGGGTGGGTGCGACGGTGGTGGCGGCGGCGGTGGTGGTGGTGGTGTCAAACGCAATCTGTTCTGTGACGCTAAAGTATCCTGATTTCTCTGTAGTCCGGAGGGAGGAAGTAGAAGCAGTCGATCTTAGTGCTTGGGGTGCATGGTACGGCTTCTTGGCAGATCTGGAATAACTCAGGCTGTCGCTCCTCTTGGGAATCATGTGCGTCGGCACCGAAGACGCGAGGGCTGGGGAGGTAGATGCCGGTAATGATGGCGAAGTCGACGGTTTCTGCTGATGATGCTGATGCTGCTGCTTTTCAGGTGAAGCAGTCGCCGATCGCGAGGGAGCAGCGGAATCTGGAGACTGAGGCCGAGTTTGAGACAGAGAATATGAGGGAGGAACGGGCCACATGCTCTCCCTTATTCCTCCACTAACTGACGATTCAGCATCAGTTTCCTTAGTTTCTGGCGGTGTCAAGGGAGGCGACATTACTCCCAGTCCGACTCCTCCATATCCAATTCCCAAGCCAGAAACGTCGTTAGAGAAGGATGAGGAGGCGGAGGGAGGCGGCGATGGCCTGTCGCGAGCAGTCCGACTTCCACTGCTGTTCTGAACCATGACATTGACGATATGAGGAGCTCCCTGGTTGTACCTCTCCCTTGGAGTTGGAGTATCTTCCCGTTCGCCAAATTCCGATTCGGATTCAATAGAGGTGAGTGGACTGCCATAGCAGATAGCGCCAGCCATGTTGATGTTATCCTCCGCCCTTCTTCCACCGTCTACCAAGGGCGTGATACTACCGGGGGCTCCGGGCGGTGGGGGGACCGGAAGAGGTTTCCATTTGGAGTCGCTCCTCGTGAGTCCTTGGGGCATCCACGTCTCTTCGGGCTGTGCGGTGACGGCTGCGCCACCGTCCTGGTTGCCAACTGAGGAAGATGACGACGAAGAGTTGGAGGGCAGCCTCAACGGCGCGGGATGGATGCTTCCATCGCTCTTGGTATGCCTGTGCCGCGACTGATGACCTTCACCTTGTCCCTCCTGTTCATGTTGTTGGCCCCATCCTCCGTTATATACACCTCCCAATCCCAATTCCCTTAGCTGCGGCCGTTCATGCAACTCGGGACTAACCGGCCTCGGCGGCTTTCCCGTTGCCGTACCAGGCTTGGCGGTGACCGTCAGTGATTCGGGCTGGTCATGGTACAAATCCCCCCATTGCGTGACTCGGCTGTCGATGCTGTTGGCGAAGCTGGTTCGAGCCCGGCTTGGTGGAGCAAGGAGGGTGGGGGACAGAGAAGACGTGTAGGTGAGGGACAGAGCAGAGGTGTGCACATGGCCGTTGGGGTCAACACGGCCGCCGCCGAGGTGGATAATTTCGACAGTTTGGTCGCCCGAGTTGGAGGAGGAGGAGGAGCGGCTGCCGGGTTTCGATCGAGGTTCGCTTGTGTGCGTGTTAGTGATGTTTGGGTCTAGAGACGAAAAAGGAAAAGGCAAGTGGGGATATGAACACGTACCGGGTTGAGTTAGATCTCTTGATGACCCACTCCTTTACCCTTTGGGTGGACTTGCCGCCTCCCATCATTCTTGATGATGATGATGAGGAACCCGAAGGTGACGGAGGCGAGAGAGGAGAGAAAGACCTGCTCAGTGCTGACGAAGGCCGTTCTTGTTCCGCAGCCGCATGCCGTTGATGGCTATATTGGGAGGTGGACGTAGAACTGGAGAAAGTGTTTGACCGCTTTGGGACATGCAAGTTCGGGATGTAAGCGTGGCCCCGCGAACCATGCGAACTGCCACTGGGTCTGGGAGGCAATTCGCCATTTAACGACTCCGGAATGGTCTCCATGTTGTACTTTACAGAGTACTCGGCACTGGTATGTTGCTGGGTCGGATTCCAAGTGGTGGCTGTCTCGGTGGTTGTCAATGTCGGTGATGATGATGCTGTCATACCGCGTTCATTCCAGTCTGCAGCATCCACAAACAGGGCAGCAAGGGCTGATGGAACACGATGATCACCGCCTCGAACTGGTTAGCGAGAGAACAATGACCGGTATTCAAATTCCTTGGTGTCTTTGGTGATGTGCAGAACTGCAGATGGTGAAAGAGTTCTAGGCCAGGCGGACGAGGAATTGAGCACGGTAATATATTGAGCAACGCCAGGGTTCCATTGACACGCCGATTTGGGCTATACGCTACTGGAACTTTGGGCTCCGGGTCGTCGCTCCATGGTGAGCTGGACCACATGGGGTGGATGGGGTATCGACGTTTCGCTCGGAGCCTCGCTTTGTTTCGAGTTCCTGCACGGAATGGGGGAAATGCATCGTTGACGGCGCATCGAATGGTCGTCCGCCATGGTCTGGTATCACACTTGGCCCGTTGATGATTTCGGTCCCCTTTCGCCGATGTTTGGAAACATCCTGGGTTCGGTTGCATGAGTGGTCGATGTTGTTTCAAGCTTGGGCCCGTAGCTGTGGGTGTCCATGTGGTATTCGGACGAGGAAGCGAGCCCATTGGTTGGATCGGAGCAAGACTCTTCCCAGTCAATCTCGAGCGTTCCAGCCAAGCCGACATCCTAAAACGTCCCAGGAGGTATATCAAGCTCCGTTAAGAAAACGTTCCCGAACACTTCTTTTTCTTTCCGGAGTAAAATATGTCCATGGTCGGAGATCACACATGACGTAATAAGCGATGCTTTTTGTGAAGTGATGAAGCTGGCCAGTGTCGCACACACATGTGAAATCTAGGTACTCCGATAAGCAGACCGCTCCCAAACGCCTGGGTGCCTGCAAAAGTACCCTTGCTAATAACATGTAACCTATATATCCCACAAAAACCCCAAGCCATTGCCATTTTTGGTATCATTCGTGTTCTCTTATCATGCCTCTATAGCTCCGTAACTGCCGTGATCTGCCGAGGCTCCCGCGGTGGTGCTTCTCCTTAGGAGTGAGCCTCTTTCGGAAGACTCTCCCTCGGAAGACGGAACATTCCTCGCAGAAAGCTTTCTGTATCGCACCACTTCCGCCCCGGTCTCATCAAGAACCTTCTCGGCCACGAGTTCATAGCCCCCAAAGCGGGGCAAAACCTTGGTCCATACAACCCAGTATACTGCACCCAGACCCAGGACCCCGGTGCCAACAAGGGGGAAAGCGTAGTACGGGTAGCCGTCGGCATTCCAGTCGTCGTTGGGAGGGATGAAGGGGGTAATGGCAAGGAAGATATTGAGGCAGAGGTAGATAAAAATAACTGGTAGCCAGGTGCGCCACGGTGAACTCCATTCTTCGGTCTTGCTGAGGCGGAGGTAGATGAGGCCACCGGCGACAAGGCCATTGATCCAGGCACCGGGGTAGGTGTATCTGATGCCACATGGTTAGAGTTGAACGTGGCAACAACAAACGTGGCAACAAGGAAGGAGGGAGCATACAGATTGACAAGGAAGTTGTAGGCAGGTCCGGGAGGAGGCCCGACCAGGACAATGACAGTCACTATCCAATGAAGTAACAGCTATCACAGAGTCAGAAATGACATGACGAAAAACAGATGACTTGAGCAACTCACTGAAGCAGCAGGCGTGTTGAACGGCTTGGTGGATGCCCAAAACTTGCTCCCAGGTAAAACGCCTTCCTTGGCCAGCTCCTGGTTCACCCGCGAGTGTGTAAAACTCACGGCCAAGACATTGCCAATGTTACTCAAGGCCACAAGAGCCGGGAGACTTCTGGCCGCCGCGCTCTCTCCAAACATGTTGCGGAAGAAGAGCCCGGCCACGATGACCTCAGACTTGGCCAGCTCGGCTTTGGGAATAGCAGCAAAGTAAGCGACGTTGGCGAGAACGTAGAGAATGGTCACGCCAACGACCGCCAAGGGCGCGGCGATGGACAGTGTCCGCTTGGGATGCTTCAGCTCGCCCATGACATAGTTGGCATTCTCCCAGCCCTTGTAGCTGTAAACGACCTGGAGGAGGGCAGTAGCATATGCATACGCTCCTCCACCCCCAAATCCATCGCCCTTTTCGATAGACCACATGTCGTCAAAGTTGTGAGGGTCGGGAACTCGACGATGGCCAGCCAAAGCAGCAAAGCCCGAGAAGACAATCACTAATAGGACTAATACTTTGAAGACGCCGAGTGCGTTGGTGAGCCTCAACCCCCATTTGGGCAAGACGGAGTGGAGAAATACGACGAAACTGATGCACAGCACGGCAATGGCCCGGGCCGGCCATCCATCAGGCAGGTCGTATCCTAGGGCCAGCAAGACATAGCGGCCAAAAGCGAGCGAGTTGCCGGCAGAAAAGCCGAGAAGAACGATCTGAACAGCAAAGACGCTGGTGACGAGATAAACGGGTTGGCGGTATACTCGTTCGAGGTAGTTCTTTTCGCCGCCAGACTTGGGGATAGCCAGGCCGAATTCCAGAAAGACGCTGAGTCCGGACAGGGTCAGAAGACCGGCGACGGCCCACATCAACAGGCACACGCCAACCGAGCCAGTGGAAGCGAAGATGCTGGATGGTGTTGAGAAGATGCCTGTTCCGATCATCTTGTTTAGGATCAGGAACACGGCACCTGTGACACCGATTTTCCTCGACTCTGGTACAGTATATTCCAGGGAATCTCCCGAAATGGGTGAGCCATTGACGTCGAGGATCTCGCTGGCAGCGACACTGCTGGCCGGAGATGCCACGGGCTTGGACCCTTTTGTGTCGGTGCCCATTGTTGGGGTATGGTAGTGTATGTTTATCAGAGAACCTTGGAAAGAAATGGCATGAAATGATATAAAGATGCCAGAAGCTCAAAGATGTGAAGGGGGGATTTGCTTGGTGGCGAGTTTTCAAGACACAATGCTATGTAGCAGCCAGGCTCTTTCTAAAGGACCTCGCGAAACATGATGATGATGATGGAAAAAGAAAAGGTATCTTGACAAGGACACATGTCGGCGAGTCAAGAATCATGGCCATGTCGACATTTATGATAGATATCTTTGATGGGCAGATGACAAACCACCAAATGTGATGGTGATCACTAGGCCGATGGCGTGCTCGTGGGAAGCGATTTGCAGTGGTTGCACGGGGCTCCAACTCACCGACCACCATTCCCGATGCGGAAGTTGAGTGTGTTCCCGGCCAGAGCACGTCTGCCGTTGAACCGCAGTGCCCCGGGGGTGTCCCGGCCGGGCTTTGATATCAGTGATGACTCCGTGTTCTGGCGCCGGATGGATTCCGAGATCTGACATCGGCGCTTACATTTGTGGTTGTGCTGCTCTTGGCATTGATGAAGAGCCATCTTGAAGGGGCAAGGGATGTTCAGATTGACGAGGGGCAGCGCGGGGCACAACGTGGTGCTAATAACGTGGGGCATGAGTTTTGATAGTGGGAAGAGTTGAAACAAGAATTCAAGGGCCTTGACTGGAATGAACTGGAAAGGTGTCGCCGATGGCAATGTCCATTCAACATCCAGGCGATGATGATGGAAGTGAGGTCGAAGCTGAAGATGCAGTCGGCAGTAGTGTACATACGACGAACAGACTCCATCCGAGCGTGTCATTGCGCGTGACCCAGAACGATAAAAAGAGACGACACAGCACAGCAAAGGCGTCTCGACGGCCCGATGCAGCCCGGCAGATCCTGTGACTGGCTGTACCTGACCCAGCGCTCCCGCTCTCAGCCGCCTTACCGATCCCTGTCACACAAAGGGTCCACCAAAAAGATGTCGCCCCTCCCTCTTCCAGTTTCAGCCCGCCTGCGGTGGTGAATGGTGACTCTTCAGGACCGACCGCCCTACTTATCGACCCCGCTATCGGCCGGCCATTGGATCCGATTCCATTTGTGAAGCCATCTTCAATCGCAAATCCCAACCAGACCGACACGACGCGCCGCTATTAATTGTCCCTTTTCCAATTATCGCAACACGAGCGACGGTATTCTTCGACACCCACAGCCACCATGACCACCGATTCCACTCTTGCCGCGACGGCCGACGCCAAGCTCGCCATCTCTGGTGACAACAACACCAAGTTGACCAAGGAGGAGCAGCTTGCCCTCATCAACGTCAACTTGGCCGAAATCCTCAACCCCGAGATTATCGAAAAGGTCATTGACGAAGGCCGCGCCCCGAGGATCTACTGGGGTAATTACGACTCCACTACATAGAGTATATCGTCAGAAGAACCAAAGGCTAACCTCTCCCTCCCGTGTACAGGAACTGCCACTACCGGTCCGTACTTTGTCGCAAACCAAGTTCCATGCTCGCAACATCTAGCTGACACCTGTTAAAGGCCGTCCTCACTGCGGCTACCTAGTTCCCGCCATCAAGATCGCCCAATTGCTCGCCGCCGGCTGCCATGTTATCGTCCTCCTCGCCGATATCCACGCCGTTCTCGACAATCTCAAGTCCACCGTCGAGCTCGTTGGCTACCGCGCCAAGTACTATGAGCGCACCATCACCGCCCTTCTGAAGGCCGTCGGTGTCCCTACCGACAAGCTCGAGTTCGTTCTTGGTAGCTCCTACCAGAAGAGCCCCGACTACATCATGGATGTCTACAAGCTCGCGACCCTCGTCTCCGAGCACGACGCCAAGAAGGCCGGCGCTGAGGTTGTCAAGCAGTCCGACAACGCTCCTCTTTCCGGTCTCCTCTACCCCATTCTCCAGGTCCTCGACGAGGAGTACCTCAAGGTCGATGCTCAGTTCGGTGGTGTCGATCAGAGGAAGCTGTTTGCTGCTGCCAAGGACTGGCTTCCCAGGCTGGGCTACAAGGAGGTATGTCATGACTTGGCCGAGGAAGCGCGCAACAGGATACTAACGTACGGCTAGCGCGCCCACATCATGAACCCCATGGTCCCCGGTCTTCAGGGTTCCAAGATGTCTTCCTCCGACCCCGACAGCAAGATCGATCTTCTCGATGCTCCCGATGTTGTCACCAAGAAGATTCGCAAGGCCGAGGCTGCCCCCAAGGTCACCGAGGGCAACGGTCTCATCTCCTTCATCGAGTACGTCCTGCTGCCCGCGGCCCAGCTTCTCGGTAAGGAGGGCTTCCGCGTGGACCGGTCGCGCGACAACCTCGAGCCCCTCGTCTACACCGACATTGCCAAGATCAAGGCCGACTACGAGAGCGATGTTGTAAGTTGCCTTGCTTTATACTATACTATCCTCTACACTTACAGTCAGTGACCATACTAACATGACCATAGCTCACTCCTCAACTGGTCAAGCCCGCCATCTCGGCCGCCATCAACGAGCTCCTCACCCCCATCCAGGCTGCCTTCCAGGCCTCTCCTGAGTGGCAGGAAATTGCCACCAAGGCCTACCCTCCCGAGATCAAGGTCAAGAAGGAGAAGAAGGTTAAGAACAAGGGTACCCGCTACCCCGGTGCTGCGGCCAAGCTCGAGGATGCCAAGGACGAGGCTACTCCTGAGCCTGCGACGGAAAACGCATAAAGGCATAGACTGCATAGAATGTGTTTGATCGATGAACTATTTTCTTGCATCTAGCGTCTTTTGTTTTTGATCATGTTTGGCTGGGTTTGGTTGGTCATGTAGGGTACTAGATAAAGGGAGTTATAAAAGTGTATAATTGTTTGTTTTGCGGTCAGTCACTTGGCAACACATATGACCATACATCAAGAGATATGAAGATACGAACTGTGCTCCCTCCACGACACAAGTCAAAGTTGAAAGACCATGGAGCCGTGACCTCCATCAACAGTGGTCATCTTCCACAACCCAAGCAGTGGCACACACACATATCTCTAGCCATCACATCGCGAGAACCGGCGTTCAGAATGATGACCGTGGGCATGCAGTGAGGCGTGGCCATACAATGTACAAGCAACAGTACAGCACGCATCAACATAATCAGGGACTGAACGGATGAAAACACCCACATGACAGAGCATATACTACGTGATAAAATGTAGATCTCAGAATGAAACCACCGCCAGACTGATTAACTGACGTTAGAGATTAACGAAGGATCATTTCTTCTTCGAGCGTCCATGGGAACCAAAGCTCCCTTGCCACGTATGCACTGCTCACTGAAGAAACCCAATGCTATGGCTGGAAACACCCGGACTATCTGAAGAAGAAAAAAAAGGAGAAGAAAATTTCCAAGAATTCACAGCGCGCGCGATTTGCAGATGTAGGTCGAGTTTGTGATGGTCTGTGCACTATAGTGGGGTTGTCGGGCATGTCCATGGTTTCTGGGTGGATTCAGTTCGTTGTGTGTCCATCATCACGTGCTGCTGGAGGGGGAAACAACTGACGAGAGACAAGAATGACGGTAGAGGGTTAGGGTCAAGATTCGAATTAGCTTTGTTTCCATTGGTCACATTCATACCGAGGTGCCGAGAAGCTCTCCCAGTCTGTTGCCGCATCCCGATGTCTCTTGCTGCTCTGGCGGGCGGCGGGCAGTGGTGCGGTTCACACTGAGCGAGGCGTCGGTCGGTGCGGGTGTCGAACGAATGCGCGAACGGGTCCCGGGACGTCCTCGGGAAATGGAACATCGTTGATTGATCCCCCATCCCGCCATCCATCCACATCCACCACCCCTTCCGCAGTTCCAATCGATCCCGGTAGAGACAGTCCGTCAATCTGCTTGCACCTTACAGTAGTTGTCTCCCAAACCACCACCACCAACCATCACACCCCCTCCGTCGTCACCACTTCGTCGTCGTCGTCGTCGTCGTCGTCAAAATGCTTGCTCAGCGCGCTGGTACCACCGCCCTTCGTCGGGGTATGTCTCTACTTTTTTTTTTGCTTCTTTTGTCCATGTTCCGTACTTCTCCAAGTTGCTCTATGTTGCGCATTGGGTGGTGTAGCACATGCAATGATGCAATATCTACCCATCCTATTCTCTACTCCCGTCCCGGCCCACGCGACTTGGTCCCCATCCCCCGTGATATATCTTGTGAAAAGAAGAAAGATGAAAGGCTAATCGCGCTTCAACATTCACAGTGGCCGCTGCCCCTAGCAGCGTCTTCAAGCTTGCTCCCTTTGCTGCTATGCAGACTAGGTAGGCACCGATCCCTCTCTCTCTCTCTCTCGAACATATACTCTCCTCCGTCACCGAGTCCCGCGTCACCCGGTCGGTTCGGTCCACGCGGCTCCGATGGTTCTACATAGTCAACACTCATTCGTCGCCTATGGTTACAACCCGTTGCGATGTATCTCAAGGAAAGAAAGAGGAGGAAACACCAACAATCAGCAACCGGCGCAAGACACCACCAGTAAAACGACCGAGATACCCGGGGGGATACACGCCTAACCGCCGAAGCACCCGTCACCCGTCCATATCATGTCAACCACGAAGACCAACACCACCAACCAGCATGGGGCATTAACACCACCAGCACCCTTCCTACCAACCACCACCAACCTACACCCAAAACCAACCACCTCGAACCAACCCATGAAACCTCTACTAACACCCCACCCCCCTTCACCAAAAATCCAGACCCATCCAAACCGAACGCCTCACTCCGGCCGACGAAGCCGCCATCCTCGCCAAACAGCGTCTCAACCGCCCCGTCTCCCCCCACCTCGAGATCTACGACCCCAAGCAAACCTGGTTCGGCGGTTCCGCCTGGCAACGCATCACGGGCGCCTCCTTCTCCGGCGCCCTTTACGCTTCTGCCGTCGCCTACCTCGCTGCCCCCCTCGTAGGCTGGCACCTGGAGTCCGCCTCGCTCGTGGCTGCCGCCGCTGCTTTGCCTGTGGCCGTCAAGGGCGCGCTCAAGTTCCTGGTCGCTTGGCCGTTTGTGTTCCACGCCATCAACGGCGTCAGACACTTGGCGTTTGATTTGGGCATTGGCTTCTCGAGGGCGACTATCATCAAGACTGGTTGGTACTTTTGGGGAGCGAGCATTGTGGGGGGTGTGTATTTGGCTTTTTTCATGTAAATCATCATTCTTAGGAAGAAGGGTGGTTTAGGTGTGGTGAAGCTAGCTTGGTAGATAAGAGAAGGGATTGGGAGGAAGGAAGGAGGGAAAGGGGGGAACTACCTACGGTACTCTTGGACATAAACTCCTGCGGTTATTTCCACGGAAAAAGATTGGGTCGTGCTGTATGAGTAAACCTGTTACCTGAGGAGAGGAAGGGGAGGGAGGTTTGTTGAAATGGAGACATTCACTTTTTTTTTTCCTCTTTCGCGTGAAGCAAAGCACGCTTAACCCGCCGTGGGTATATATATATGGTCTAGTGAGATCTGTGCTGGCACACAAACACGTTCCCAGGAACCTGCCATCAGTCTGTATCACAAAACAAAACTTCTAGAAGCCAATTCCCGATGATCCAGCTCAAGGAACCATTGTGTTGTGTGATTGTCGAGTGTCATGTACACTCGAACGACCAATATGATCACAACAAGTAAACAAATCATCACGAACAACAGCCTGGAAGGCAAGCATAGAAGGAAGGACGAACTGTTAGGTCTAGTTCTCAAAGTATATTTTCAAGCCATGCATGCATGGGGCCAACTAACTTTCATCAATTTTGAGCGACCCTCTGTACCTATCCGACTAACCAAGTCCATTCATTAAAACTTTCATTTGAGAAACCAAACCCAAACGCCACGCTGTGTGATTAAAGAAAACCCCCAGGTAAGGATACAAGTGCGGGAAAATCTAAGTCCCGTGAGAATTCAACTTTTCGCGTGCTGCCGGCCATTTTCCCTCCCTCCTCAGTCTCTCTCTCACCTCCTTCAATCTCTTACATCATGATCGAGCTCTCATCGCCGCGGCGGCGGCATTCAAACACTACTCCAAATGCCTCACCTCCAAAATCCCCCGATTCAAATGCTGGTTCCCCAGCCTCGCCACCCTCTCGCCAATCGTCCTTCCCAAAAACTCAATCACCAACTGCCCCTCCCTCTCCAACTCGGTCACGTCCGCAACAACAGGCAGGGTGATCCCCTCCACCAGCGTCTCGATGGCCTTCATGATCCCTCCCACCAGCGCCTCATACTCGAAATGACTCGCCTCGCCCTTTTCGCGGAGCGGAGTCAAAATCCCCTCGTCAAACATCTTCAAGTTAGGAAGAACCAGAATGCGCACGGCTTCGGGCCCGCCGGCGGCCGCGAGCCCGCTGATGGCGCCGTACAAGACCGCAGGGGACTTGCTTGGGTCCAGAAAGAACTTGAGGCACGTGCGCGTGAGTTTGGGGCGCAACAGGGCGTTGGTCTTGGAGTATTTCCTGGCGATGGTGCCGAGCAAACTGGCAGCCACTTCGCGGAGGCGGTACTGGTCTTTCAGGGCGTCGGTTCCTTCGAGACTGGATTCCGATCCGCCTAGTTTGCGGGCCATGAGGCAGGTCAAGACGGGCGCGGCGAGGGAGGAGGCGTACGGGTCGAGAAAGATGGAGGGGTTGTCGAGGATGGCGCCGGTGAGTTCCATCATTTGCCGGAGCACAAAGAGGTCGTCGAGTCGGTGCGTCACTTGGTTGTTGATGAAGGAGACAAAGTAGGGCACGAGTTGGTGGAGACCGGGGTCGGAGCGGACCGAGTCCAGAGCCGCGGAGCGCAGGCGCGTCTTCTCTTCGTCCGGGTCGTCGTCCATAATGGCCGCTTGGACTTTGTCAAAGTAGAGGATGAGCTCTTTGCTGATGACGTGCTTAACGGCGGGGCGGAAGGCGACGTTGTCGTTGCCGGCCAGGGCGGCGACGGCGGGGTTAGCGCCGGGACCCTTGGGCAGGAGGTCCTTGGAGGAGGTCTCGGCTGTGGTGGGGTTTTGGGGGATGGAGGGCTGGACGCCGTCGATTGCGAGCCAGTGGGCTGCGCGCGGGAGGAAGAAAAGTGTTAGCTGATGCGACTAGTAGGTTGAGGTGAGCACTGGGTGAGAGAGAGAACTGAAAAAAGCGTACCAGTAAAGCTCATATCGCGGGGCACCTTAGGTAGAGGAGCGTTTATGACCTTCTCAAAATCCACCTCCTCGTCTTCAATGTAGAACAGCGGTTGGCCGGGGCCGATGCTGGCTTCCCCGTAGCGAAGTGGCCGCGTGGAATCGTATCCGTAGAGGGGCTCGACGTCGAGAACTCGTAGAGCTTGCGAGACATCTTGGACTGTCAGAGTGGTGCGGTTGGCGGCGCGCATAAAGCGTAGGGCCTCGACGACGACCTGGCCAATTCGGTATTCTACATCTTGGGTGAGGACGCGGAGGGGCTCTTCGGTCAGGTTGATTCCTATCGACTCGGCGACATCCTTGACGTTCTCGGGGTTCCAGAGGAGTTTTGGTCCCTCCCCTGCCATGGCTCGTGAATTCGTCGGTTCGGTGTGATAATGTTTGTTCGTGAAGTCTGGGGCGGAATGGTGGTCTGCAAATCGTCGATCCAAGTCGCGTGGATGGAAGCTGTCGCGTTCATAGAATGATGTACAGGTCAAAGATCACAGTGGATGGACAAGGGCAACTGACGAACCACGGAGAGCGGCCCCGCAGTGGGTTAGGGTTAGCGCAGTACAGCCAATGCTGATTTGCTTGTTAGTTTGGCACCCCGAATAGAATCATATAGACCCGGTCTGAACACCGAAATGTACTTTGAAGTGTATAGTTACTAACTTGGCGGAGATTGCTAACTATTTACTTAGCATGCTCACTTTAATTCGAGCCCCGGTAGGTGAAGAAACACATAAACTTGATTTGGTACTATTGTCGGGACAAGTTGACAAGAGGTCTCGAGCTAACAGACAACCCAGTATTTGGCTGTACAGTGTAGACGCTCCACACTATCCAACGACGTCCCTCGACTTGGTCACTTCAACTTCACCTTTCAATTACTCATCATGGTCGTCCATGTCGTCGCCCGCAGCCGCGATTTAGAGATATCTGGAGCATTTCGTTGTACCGATTGTTGTACAGGATTTCGGAATTCAACAAACTCACCTCCAAGGCGCCGCCCAACAGACAATATATCTGGTCCCTCCCATCTGGAGTTACCAATCACCATCGTTATTTGTGAATGACCTCAACCTTCGACCTTGCTGCTCCTTGATACGAGATTCAATTCCCAAGTTCCCCCCATATACGGAACTCAGTATTTTTGCTGTATTGCTTTGATATCTACATAAACCCTTTTCTGGGCCAAATCATCAAGTGATTCACTAGTTAAAGGACTTGAGGTGCGTTTGTTACTTTCCATTGTTTGCTAAGCGCTACTCTATCTTTCTAGTACTCATTTGTGCCTACCAGTGCCCATCCACTTCCTAGCCTTCCTCGCTGGTATTGTAATACCACAACTCTCACTCTCACTAGGCTGTCGAGCCCTGCCTTCATTCACACTTCCCCCAAACTTTTCGTACCTGACTCCGGTAGCCGGTGTTAACAACGGAGGATAGCATTTAGCGGCTCAAAGTATGGTCCACTACCAGACCAGCGAGTGTAGATCATCGCATGAGATGTGGGAAAGTTCCGCAGCGTTTCGATTCTCCCCTTCGAAGTATTTGCCGAATCATGAATCGACATCGCAGATCCTCTTGCCCTTGTCACGGAACTAGCTGTACCATACATCAGTGGCTAAATGCCATCAAATGATCCTTTATCCCAATATCTCTATCAAACGCTCAACGTTGCCTGACATCCCTAGTAGGTAGTCTGGCTGGGAAATCCCCAACTACAATCAGCTCCTTTCCCCTATGATGGCTTACACCAAAACAACAAAACTCTTTTGGAGACGGAAAAGGCTCCATGGATCAGCTTTCTGTTCCAATACTGTTGCACACAGAAAAAATATTTCAGAAAAACGACTGGACCGCTTCACTCCATTTGCACGAGGAGGCCACTGCAGACTCAACTTGATCAGGTTTGCGTGAAATCGAAAGGTCCAGTCTAGGCTTGCGGCTTGTCAAGTGCATGCCCGTTATATGACATTCCGTCGGCCCCTAGAAGGACCAGCCTGATAGTTCCCTATCCTCTGGTAGCCGCGCCATATACCAGTCATCATAGCTCGATCTTACGGTCCGGGTGAACAGTAGGCTAAATCGGACACTCGCGGCTCCAACCACTAGGTAAAAACTGGATGAACGGCGGCCTCTTACAACCTCCAACTCAAACTCAACTTCACACTTGACGCCATCGTCATTCCCATTACAGTCAAGCACATCGTCCAAGGAGCCGTAACTTGTGCCTCCAAAATAGGAGTAAAAGCCAACGAACGCCAAATGCAGCGGGCATAGCTACAGCTCGTTCGGCATTCGAAGGGGGAAGACGGTCATCTTGTTGAATGTGTTGAATATTCTGCTTTTCGATCCACATATGGATTACTTACTCGTTCAGTTTTACATCTTGTATATCTAAAGACCATCCTATTCTTACACTCTCCTCCTTCTTCTTCTCCTCCTTCTTCTTCTTCTTTAATCAATCAAGTTCACCACCACACTGGCTTACCCTCGTGATGCTTCGTTTCACTTCAACACATCTCACCCAGTGCCATCGAGCTGGATAGTACCTACCTCTACCTATGAATAAGGTTGTACCACACATACTGGATAATAATACCACCAGCATAAGTAGCGACGGTAGGTACCCAGGTAGAAGGAGGATCTCGGCTGTACTGGACATGTTGCGTATGGGCTTTTGTACAGTCAAGAAAAAAAAAACGGAATCAGACGTTCAGCCGTGAGACTTCAGTTGTCCAGGATACCTAAGCCTCCTCTCCTTTTTTTTCTTTTTCTCATTTTCCCACGCTACCTATCCAAATTATGGAAAACATAAACCCACGTAACTAACACTTGAACCAGCTGGCGTCAGCGTAAGCGTAAGCGGCTCCACTATTCTTTCCTTCCAGTTTTCCGCTCTCTCTTTACCTTTGACTTTCAATCCGCCCTCTTCCTCTTCATTTGTTCGTTCGTTTCATTCCAAAGTGGAAGTCTTTAGAGCACAGCCCCTACCTCTACCAACTGACTGCATACAACAAGCACGAAATCTTCCACACACACACTCCCTTTACGCCCACGTCTTCATACAACTACCCTCCCAACTCTCCGTCGTTACCTCCTATTGGCTCAGCTACCCCAAAGTCAACAAGCAGGACTGGCATGTGAAAATCGACGTGTAACAAGGCCGCCGAACCCCTACTGTCACCATTCCGGATGTGGACTCCACCGCTTACGCTCATTTAAAGTATCTACCTGTCATGTTCCTGATTTACGACTGCGTGAATAGGTAGGTAGGTAAGAGGATGTATCCGGATGAAGGCACGGCTTCGCGGCCATCCAAAACTTTGTGGGAAAGGTCCCAAATAAAATTTCTGTGGAGGAGTAGGAGATGTATGTCAACTGTCCGGATTCGCAGGTGGAGAGGGAGGTGGCCCAAAAAAATTAATAGGGGAAGCACATGGAGCGAATGAAGAGTGTGAAGGGGAGCGTGGATACGGGGGATTCGTTCAGCTATTCGCAGAGGATTGTACCTGCTGTGTGAGAAGGATGCTAGGGAGGATGTGGATGGTGAGACGGTTACGTTGACATGTGGTGGGCGAGCTGGAGTCAAGCGATCAAAGTGGATGATTTGTGGTCATAGACATGGAGTGTTGTTATCGCGTGGCTCCCTACGGACTTGCTCGTGAAGTGTACAGACATACATGACGACTACAGACACAACTCTTCCCTCTTCCAATGACCCCGCCCCCTACAAACAGATCCAATTCGCAGCACACCCCGAGACAGTACAACCCGGTGTTTCAATTGCCTTCTCAATCAAATCCTCATCTACGGTGAAAAGACCGGCTGCCATGGAGGCAATCAAGATAGCAGTTCGAATCGGTGGCAGATTAGACCGGCCTGTCAAACACCCGGCGATCCAGCAATTAGTCAAGAGGGTACCGACAACGGGGAAAGATCTGGAGAACACCCACCTTCTTGGTCTTTGACTCGCCGAAAAGGTCCCTTCTTTAAGTGGGAGTAAGTGGGGAAGTAGATAGCCGAGAAGGGAAACGTCGCGGAGCCAGCCATCAGAGGGCCCTTGTACAGTTCGACCAGGCGCGCGAGACATCAAATCTGTAAACTTGGAGCGTCGGCTGAGGCGAGGGTAGGTACGGACGATCCACATGGCAGAGCGCCCGGGAGCGTCCTCGACACTCTTAGCAACTTCACCCCGGACCCGCTCTGATTTTACAATTTCCAGGGGGGGGTTGTAAAAATCTGGTTGCATAAGGAAATTGTTAGCATTGACGTCTCAACAACAAGAGAAACGGACACAAAGATGATTCAAGGATGACTTGCAACTTGGCAAACCCCCCCCCCCCCCTTTGCCCTACTATCCTACTTCATCGTGTTAGTTCTCTGCTGAGCTTTGACTGACGAGCGGAAGCCATGTGTTTACTCACCTTGTGCTCAATCTGGGAGCACAGGAGCATTACTGCCCGTCTTAACAGGAACAGCAAATAGGATGCCCTTACGGTTGCGAGCCGGGCAAGAGCAAGTTGATGGGGCCGGGGCAACCGAAGCAGCTGGTGGTGCTGCGGGTGCAGCTGGGGCAGCCGATGAAGCTGTGGGTGCTGCTGAGGCAGCAGCAGCAGCACCCGTAGCCGATGTTTGATCCATGGCGGTGAAGTTGGTGAGGGGCTGAAGTGGAAGGAGACGTCAATAGGTAATCCTCTCATGGACGCCACGGAGGTAGGAGGCAGTAGAGCTTACCAAGAGAAAGTGCCAGCGACGAGCGAACCGAGGAGGGCACCAGCAGGGAGCAGGGCAACGATGGCACCCTGGCGGTACGCCGAGGAACTGGAGGTTGAAGAAGGGGGTGGTTTTTGGTGGTGCTGTTGATGTTCTTGAACGCAAGCAGCGACGAAGAATGGTGAGGAAGTGGTGGTGAACAACGATGGTTGTGTTTGATGTTGAAGGAAAGGGAAGAGGAGAAGAGAAGAAGAGAGGAGGGAGAAGGGAAGATAAAAACGGGTGGGGAGGGAAGAGAGAGGAGGGGAAGGGAGGGGATGGAGAGAGAGAACGAGGGGAGCGGCTGCCTGGAAGGCGCGTGGGAGAGCAAGAAACTGTGGGAGTCAAGATTGGTTGCTCGTAGAGGTACGCGTTCCTTCCATTTCCTCCTTGATTCTAGACGAGGGGAACAGGCAATTTTTTCTCGTGTCACGCTCTCCCGTACCTGGCAGGAACCGGCGGTCACGAGTGTACCGACTGGACCGAGAAGGGAAACAGCACTTGGACAGCTGATCCTCTGTGCTGTGACAGGACTGCCTCCACGATAAACGTCTCTTGTCAGGCACCCGTCACCTCTGGTCAACTTTTCCAGGCATTTCCATCTCTTCATAGTGCTCGTTGTTCGATTAGGAAGGCTTAATCCTTCAGTGATTACGGTTATTCGGGTCAGGAGCACATGTTTCGATTGGTACGGGAGCATTTCAGAATGTACGATCTCCATTTGGGACAAATCAAATACATGTATGGCTCATTTGAAGTACGGATCTGGTGGAAAAGAGGGAAAATAATGCTTGCACGATACAGTATATGTCCTTTTGCCCCTTCGAAACACTCTCTTTCCACCTTTCGGAACTAGTTCCGGACTTGCTCTTCTGTCCATGTTCTGCTCTGAGTGAAGCACATTTTCTTTTGGCAAGCTTCGGGTGACGGCCAACTACCAATAATCCGCGCCTTCCTTCCAAAGCTGTTACGATCCCATGCACCCGGCTGTCAAGCCTGCCCTTAATATCGATCCATCCAGCACCACTCTTTCTCTGTTACTTTGCTGCCGCCAGAATCGAACTGCCTTTTTCTCGCACGTCAGGACACTGAATTTGAAGCAAAAGAAAATGTCGTGCTGTTGAATGTAGAGGTATTCATTGGCACCTGGCAACAACCAGTTGTCTTGACTTTGCAAGCTGTCAGTCCACTGATCTTCTGATGAAAGTGAAAGAATTTTGAGGCCAAAGACAACTTCCAACACGAGCTCGAGAACTATGCCAACACTTTTATTTTTCAGCTAATTCGCTGCTATCAGTGAAGCCTCGGTATCTGAACTCGCTTGTATCGACCGTTGGTTGAGCTGGTGAGCCGTCGATAGGTAGGTACCTAGGTAGTCTTTGAGGAGTGCGAGTCTGTTGATGGCGAGGTCGGGGATAAACTTCAAGTACCTAGGTAGTGACTACTCATCGAAGAAGAAGAGACGGAAGCCAGCAGCAGAGGCAGAGGCCGTAGACGGAACAACAGAGCCAGAGGGGGCATTGGAAGCGCACGAGCCATCAAGTTGACATGGAAGTTCGTGATCGACTGCAGTGGATGACGCATGCAGGAGTACAAGTCGTGATGTATCGGGGCAAGAGCAACGGTGACAAGCACCGGCCAACCCTTCTGCTTGATGGTTTTTTTCAACCGCTCAGAGCCGTGGAAGGAAAAGAAGGACCGAGGATGCATTGAGGCGGAAAATCAAGGTGAAGAGCGTGATGTACAAGACGAAAAGGAAGAGGACGGACATTGTCGCGGCCGGTTCTGCTGCTGAAGGGGCTTCTTGATAGTTCTGAAGGGCACGAATCTCCTTTCTGAACTTCTCCACGAAAGGTGCCATTTTCGAGACAGTTGTCTCGAGCAGGACAGGCACCTTTTGCATGATAGGTACGCGTACCTTGTTCACGAACGGTGTTTCCTTTGTGGCAGATGCCTTTCCCACGACCTGTGTCTTCTGCACGACGGGTGTCTTCTTTTCCGCAGTTGCTTTCTTTTCCATGACAGGCTTCTTGCTCACAATGTGTGTCTCTTCTGTAGCATGTGCCTTTCCCGGGGAAGGCGTCTTTTCCACGATAGGCTGTACCTTTTCCACGACAGGAGGTGCCGCTTCCATGAAATATGTTCTTTTCTCAACAGGTGTCATTGCCAAATCAAATGGCTTGTTGACGACGGTTGGCATTGTCACGACAAGTGGCTCCTCTATAACAGGTGCCTTTTCTATGATGGGAGATGCCTTTTCAGCAATGGGTGGCGTATCGACGTGATAATATGGCGTTTCGATGGAAGGAGATGATGCTCTTTCCTCGACAGCCTCCCCTTCGAGGACAGGTTCTTTCTCCGAGATCGGTGACCATTCCACATCGGGTGACTCTTTCACAATGGGTGACCCTTCCCCATCCCCGATGGGTGACCCTTCCGCAATAGGTGACCATTCCGTCACAGAAGGTTCATACGCCTTGTTCGTGACAGTTGTCTCCTCCACGGCAGCAGGTGCTCTTTCCACAACAGGTGAATTTTCCATGTAAATTTCGTCCTCTGGCCCGTGCGAGAATGATTCCTCTTGCAAATGGGTGTCTTCGCCGGATTCCCCGGCAGGTCCTTCTCCCATGGCATCTTCCTCTTTTGGCTGGAACGATTCCTTTTGAGGAGAAGTGCTGTCTGTGCTGAACTCCATGGTAGCGAAATCTGAAGCTTTTTTTTTTCTGGCAGTGTGTGGAGATGGTGTTGAGGAAGGTTGCGTTTGAGCTGCACGCGTGCACGAGATGAATGACAGCCCGAGAGATACAAGAAGTGTCCACCGAGGAAGGATAATGGACAAGATGGAAAATTCAAAGAAATAAGAAAACATAAATTGGACACCAGGCAAAAAAAAAAAAAAGGCGAACGGGTAGAGCTTCAACTGAAGATATGCTAACTCGTGGGCAGATTGTGGACAAAGAAAGCGGGCTCTTTTCTGGTTTGTTTCCATGCTTTGTGGCCGGCCGCCTTGTTGTCAGTGGCGGCCGAAAAATGACATATCTTTTGGGCGCTGCATCCGGAATACTATCACTCATTTTGCGTTAGAGGTATCGTGATTTTCTTTGTCGCTCGACTTGTTTGCCCGTAATTCCTCACTCTGGAAGATCCGACAACGCCACATCCCGGTTAGGTACCTCTAGGATGGAACTCAGCAATCATGCGTGGCGTATTGACTTACCTCTAGGTAGATTAGATAAACAGGAATTTTATCAAATGGAGGATTTCTCATTACCAAGATACCTGTGTTGGAATTTATCAGTCCAGATCGCCAAATCTGTGATCCTCCCGATTCGTGATAGTGTGGGCAAGGTACCTACCTGGGTACCTCTAGGGAACATAACTGTAGGTACCTCTGTAGCACCAATGTTGACTCCTCCGACTGTGGTTGATGATAACAGGAAAACTTCAAGTCTCATAACAATCCAATTCGAACTTCTTTTCAGCCAGGCATTCTGTGTAACGCAAAAACACGACCACACGTTTGCCGTGTATGTTCTGATGTGAACGTCCGCACAACTTTCGATACTTACCTAGGTACTCTTCGCGCACCTGGTACCTACCTAACTTCTATTAGGCAACGAATAAGTCAACATGTCGCTGTTTCTCGTTCGTTTCAGATCATGGAAGGTAACAAGCCAAGGAACCTCTACATAAAACCAGTATCGGAAGACAGGGACAGACAGCAGTGGATATGATATGATGTATGTTTCTATATGATGCAAAGCTGTATATGTACAGATACAAAAAATGGTGTGAAAAAAAAAATATTGGCCTATGTTACAAGATTCCTTCATCCTTCATCCCTCTTCCCGTCTCGTCCCCGTCGTCTCATCACTCCAGACAGTCATGGACATCAACCTTGTGCTCATACCATGTCATGCCATACTATCTTGTCATGTCATGCTATGGCATCGATCACCACCTTCTTTTCTCCCCCATCCTTCGACCATACACCACCTCTCGCTAATATACATCTGGGTCTAGGTACTTAGACGCACTTAGACGCACTGAGAGTACCAATCGTTGTACTTGGTGCAAGTAGATCCGCTCTCGCACTCAGTAGCACCAGTGTAGCCGTTACCACCGCACTGTCCCCACTTAGTCTGCTTAGCCTGGACCTGGCCACTGCCAGCCGCAGCCGAAGTAGCGGGAGCAGCAGGAGCAGCAGAAGTAGCGGGAGCAGCAGCCTTGGTGCTAGTGACCAAGGTGGTAGAGGGGGCCTGGACCTGGCTAGTAGCAGCCGCAGCGGAGGTAACAGGAGCAGCAGCAGCGGCAGAGGTAGCAGGGCTGTTGCTACCGCCAGTAGCACCAGGGAGGGTAGCGGACGCGGTAGCGGTGGCGGCCATCTTGCTCTGCGCGATGGAGCTGGAGGCACCAGCAATGAGGGAGGGGCCAGGAACGGGGTAGGAGATGTCGTTCTTGTAGATATCAAAGAGGATACCGGCGTCGGTGGCCTTGTAGAGCTCGGTGCCGGCGACGCCGGCGGGGACGGTGGAGCCGGAGCCTTCGACCTTGAGGTTGAAGCACTGGGGGTAGTTCTGGGCGCCGTTGGCCTGGCCGGCGCTGTGCAGGGCGATGATCTCGTGGCGGAGGACGTAGTTGCCGGGCTTGATGTTCTCGGGGATCTCGACGACCCACGAGTTGCCGTCCTTGATGAGGACGTCCGAGGCCCAGCCGTTAGTGGCGTCGTAGCCGGCGCCGTCGATCTTGAAGAACTTGAGGGCGGTCTTGTCGACGGACTCGCAGTCACCGTCGCAGGCGGCCAGGTAGTCGATGACGGGGCCCTTGTGCGATTCGGGCCACTGGTCCCACTGGAGCGAGATCTTGTCGCCGGCCTTGACGGTGGCGTGGCCGCCGGCGGGCGTGGCGGACTTGTGGCAGATGATGTCGCCGGAGTCGAAGGCGTCGGGCGAGACGAAGCCGTTGTCCTTCTGGTCAATGGTCCAGCCGATCACGGTGGGAGGGTTGGAGTTGTAAGGGAAGGAGGTGGGGTCGTAGTTCTGGTACTCGACGCCGTTGACGATGACCTTGGAGACGTGGCCGTGGGCGGCAACGAGGGAAGCGCCAGCCAGGGCGGTGAGGATGCTCTTGCGGGCCATTGTGAATGTTATGTATATCGAAAGAATGACGATGGTGGGAGAGTAGAATAGAAGAGAAGTGAATGTGGTAGATGTTCAGATGCTGAAGTCTGTTGTCTTGCTTCTTCTTTTTTTCCTGATGACTTGGAATCTGTCGACGTCTTTATACCCTTTGGATTGGCGTTGAACAACACAAGCCTCGGCTACACTAATGGGCCTTCACCCATGGCATCGTTGCGGCGCTTGCAGTCCATGGTCAATGATGCAATCGCGGCGATACCGCAACGTCTGACGTTTGCCGCAACGCGTGGAGAAGTGGATTATTGACATCCTGTTATTAGAGATTAGATGAGCAGGATCAGAGACCAAGGGGAAAGTGCAAGCGCCCCGGAAAGCCACCATGTTTGAAGACGGGTAGGATGTTGGAGGTGAACGGGAGAACTAGTGGGGGTGGATCGTCAGAGACAGCATTGTGTGTGCGGAAACTCCCAGTATTGGTTGAAAGGCCCAAGTCTGAGAGGAAACATCGGTTAGCATTCCGTCTGAGGCTCTGAGTGACCGGGTTCAGGGCGATAGGAGTGCCGGGAACCGGACAAGCGAGGGGTGTTGGAGCAGGCTCTAGTTTTTCCTGAAACCGAGTTGCGGTAGACCCTAGATAGCATTTGAGCCTCCGGCCGAAGAGTCGATTGAACATCTGCCTTGATTTGGGGTATGTACCGGTCAGTCACCGTCATAATTGCGGCGTTGAACGCCTCTGTAAATGTTCTTCATACTCGGATCTATACCTCACCTCAGCCGTTTTCCTCATTTACGACATTGAAGATCCCAAACCATCGAGTGTCCAAAGACCCTTTCGCGGCAAAAGACCCGAAAATATGCCAAGACCATCGAGACGCCTACTGCGATGCCCCTATTCCCGATTAAGCATACGGAGGCATTTCTTCCCCAGTTCCCCCTGGACAGGGATCCGTGTTTGTACCGGGGGGGTGTTCCTCCCGTTTCATGGGAGGATGTAACGCTGCGGTCTATCCGAAAGGGGAAACATCCATGTGATGGTGGGTCCTCCAGGTCTTAGTGTCTCGACAACGACAACCGCGGCACAACTTTCCATTCCAGAACACGGTGATCGCGGTTGTCCATGTTCCGCGGTACTGGAAAACCGGTCTCTCTGGGTTGGAAGACAAGTTTGAGAGGCAAGAGTAGGTATGAATGCAACAGTGGTATCATGATGCAACTCTAAGCGATGGCGTTCAAGCGGGAAAAAAGTGAAGCCGCCATGTCTTGTGTGTTCCGCCACCCAGGCTCCCGGAGCCGAAGTATTATCGCGAGAGACAGCAATACCGGCATGCATACGCGAGGAACGGTACGGTAGTTTGGAGTCCGTCTCCTATCGGGTGGTGATGAGGTTGATGCAACGGTTGGAACAAGAGTTGGCAAAAGTATTGGGACTTGGTGGGCGTGGAAAAGATGTGTGGAGCTTCATATTCCGGATAAGCGTTACGCTGGAATCATTCAAGCGCCCGTTTGATATCGCGGCGTCACGCCCGAACCTCAATTCTGAGTGCATGAACGACTGGGGCGAACACGTAGAAGTGGCTGAATGGGGAAGTCCACCGTTTTCGAACCACATGATGGTTCGTGGGGCCATCGACTGTGGTAAAGCGTTTATATCTTTCGGTTTGGACCTTTGATTGCATCGAGCTGAGAGTTGATGCTAGAAAAATCTGGTTCGAAAAGCCATAGACCAAGACGGATCAAACAAAGGCTAAAGATTCCGGCGCTATCTTTTTGTGGTTGGAATGGTGGTGGTGTCTTCTCTGGGCCACCTCTTAGATGCCGTGTTGTTGTTCAACAAGCCATATCACGAGATGTCCTCATATCTGTCACAGGGAGGCATCTTCACCCTTCATGTTCTATTAACAGAGCCCGAAGGCTTTCCACAAAGATGTTCATTAATTCCTATAAACGCGTGCTGCAGTGTCTAGGTGCTTTTTATCCCAAACGAAAACCTTGATCCGAAATTCCAGGTGTAACCAATGTCTGTCTTGGCCGCATTTAATCATCCATCCATAGTCTCGTCCACCTTTTCTGCTAACAAAAACGACAAACAAGGCTGACACCAGGCTTGAGCACACCAAAGCCCCGAGTACTTGCCCAGCCTCACTCGCTCCTATCTTCCATGTCCTCACCTTTCACCTTCCGATACCCTTTCCCTCTTTGGGCCCGCCAATACCTCCTCACCAACCAACCCATCAATCCCACCAACGATCCCAGCACCATGGAAAATATCCACAAATGGTCTCCAATCTCCAAAAACAACCGATTATCCCACCCATTCCACGTCCCTCCCCTCCCCTGCGTAAAGAACACCCACTCATCCATGCCCGGCCGATTATCCATCATGAGCCTATACAACCTCCCACTCACCTCTTCATCCACCCCTTCTAGTACTATTTTTCCTCCCACGGCATCCTTCTTCCCAAGCTGCAGCATCCGATGATACTTATCCCACACCCCACCAATAAACCACTGTCCAACTCCCCAACTAATCTCCACATACCGCAACACCCCCCACAAACACCACCACCGCTTCCAGAACCCGGCTAACCGTTCCGTCAAGCTCCCAAGCGGCAGCGCCCCCCTCCCTTCTATCAACTCCGCCACCACCCGTCCCCAAAACGGATGATTAGGTCTAGCAGCCAGGATATTATTACTTAGCGCTCCCCTGCCGCCATCTGTGATCCAGAGAGGGAAGTACGTCAATGCGTCTAACGAGCTTGAGCCAGACTTGATGGACGGCAGACACCCGTTGTCCAGGTCGAGGTAGATGCCGCCATAGTGGTAGAGGAGGAAGTAGCGGAGGGCGTCGACGCGCTGGACGGGGTGTGGGTAGGAGAGGTAGGCGGGAAGGAAGGTAGGGTAGTGGGTGGAGAGGAAGGCGAGGGAGGATTTGTGTGTCCAGAGCTGTTTGTTTGTATCTATAATTAGCTTGGGTTATGTGGAAACGGGTACGAAAAGGTAGGGGGGAAAAAAAGAAGAGGGGAAAAGGGAGGAAAAGGAAAAAAAACATACGCGATATTCCCAATCGGGATTGATATCTATACAAGTATGCCTCTGTTGCTCCCAATCACTCGGCAGCGTTTCGTTGGCCGGGTCCTTCCAGTTGTGAAAGATCTGGTGGATGATCTTGGGGATCTGAGGCGCCTTTCGCGATTCTTGGAGGGTGCCGTTGAGGTAGGCATTGGCGACTTCGCGCTGGGTGATGGCGATGCCGGGGTGTTGGAAGAAGATGTGGATGAGGGCGAGGACGTGGGTGATGAAGTAGTGGAGGCCGAGGAGAATGGGCGTGGCGATGATGGCGACCCGGAACACGGAGCGTAAGAATATCGGTCGCATCTTGGTGGTCTCTGGCGCAAGAGCAAGATTCCGGAAGGCGACGGTTTAGTTTGGTCAGGACTGGAGCGGGATCAATCCATCGGTCTGCCTCGGCTGTTCAAGAAAGGTGGATGCCAAGCAGAGAGAAGGGAGTTCTCAATCCGTCGCAAGAAGGCGCCAGCGACGCGCAATGATTGAACTTGCGTGGACGCCTACTACAACCAGGCCCTCCTTCTGTTGTCGCCGAGTACAGCTAGGTAGGAGTCCGAGTGAGAAAGACACGATGGCGTGACTGTCGGTGTGTCGAGATCCCCAGGGTCTGTCTCTCCAGTCGCTCTCAACCTAGTTGTCCATTCAGTTCAGTTTCGTTAGCGCCTCCCAACGTTAGAAAAAAAAAAAGGAAAGCGACATGTTGGTACCTCTCGCGGGATCTTATCGCAGCATTTCTCAAGTATCACAAGGTAGCTGATAAACAATTCTTACTGTTCCGTCTGCACAGTCAGTTCAACCCCTGTCGATCGCTTAATTATGGTATCAACATGCGCCAGTGCGTGCCCCTGCAGATGACCAGGCAGGTAAACTGAACCGCATTCGCGCAGTGACTCGGGGTTCGTTATACATGCTTCAAGACGTTTGTGGCGGACGAGATGGCACGAGCTAACTAAGTAGTACTGCTTGACTTCAACGACGACAGACTCGGGTCTGGTGATGTGCGAAGGTGACGTTGACAACTCCGTGTTCGTGTTCACGTACGACACTCGCCTGTTGATGGGAACTCCTGCGTCGCATAGGTTTCAACCGCATGGGCAATCCAGTAAGTACACCAAGTAAAACAATACAGTTTGTTAATCATGTGTTAATAAGAATACTCATGAATAAACATGAGCCGGGTATTCTGCTCTTCTAGCATAGGATCTCACGATGCTCCGCCGCACGTCTTTTCTGACTGGAGCAGTATGTGTAATATAGGTCGTGAAGGTATTTCATCCCGCTGAGTAGCAACACGTCTGTTCATAGCCGTTCTGTCATCTCCCGGTCTGCTAATACTTTAAACAAACCATCTCCAACTCCCTCGCCAACTTTCCATTCGGCCCGCTCACCTTCCCTTCAACCCTCTCTCCCACAATCATCCACGGACTGAGATTACACCTCCTTGTCTCCTTCTCCCACGTCCAAGCCATGCACTCGTTCCCCCTCTCATAGCACTTCCTCCCGCACTCCTCCGCCTTCTCGACACCCTCAACTACTGCCACCTCCCCACCACTCCCACCTGCATGATCCCAATTCGCATACTCTATTGGTTTTGCCAGCTCGTCTTCCGTCAATGTACTCTGCCTCCACGGCCTCGACATCCCATACACGTCCCAAATATCGCTCCACAGTAGTGGCTTGCTCACATTCCTGAAGCTCTCGCCTGCCTGGTGCATCTTCTCCGGCTGGCCCAGTCCATGGAACGTGATAATAGGACTACAGAACCGATCCGGGCGAATTTTGGCCCACCATGGAGGTTCGCCGCTGAACAAATGGCTGTACTCCTCATCCAGATATACCCCGGCTCTTATCAGTGTCCTGGCCAGCAAGCGGTCGCCCCATGTTTCCGACAGTGATTCGAGGTGGGCGTTTCGCACGGCGTGTGGGTTGTCGAGAATGAGGGAGGACATGGCACCTTGCGATAAGATGATGCCGGAGCCGCCGTGGGCAAAGCGGACGCGGAAGTCGCCGACTGCGTTGCCGAGGTAGTAGGGGACTTCGGAGTCGAGGTGGGCGAGGAGGGGTTTTAAGGATGGTTGGACAAGGTAGGTGTCGTCGTCGACGAGGAGGTACCACTTTTTGTTGGGGAACTTGGAGTAAGCGAGTTCGAGGCCCGAGATGAACTGTTAGGCAAGTGTTAACGGGTGTCAGTGGTGATGAGAGATGACCGTGATACGTGACGTACCTTGAGGGCGTCTATCTCCCAGCCTGTGGACTTGGCCAGCTGGTCTGCTTCTTCTTGTTTTCCATTCTCTATCGCTTCGGCAAATCGAAGGTATTTCGCAACTCGTGAGTTGGACAAGCTGGCGGCCGGTCCCAAGGAGCTCAAGGTCTGATTGACAACGTTATGTATCAGTAGAGGCGTGCCATGGTTATTGGCCTCTTGACCTGGCTTGGAGGCATAGTCGGCGATAATGAGGAAGTCGCGGAACTCGTTGGAGGCGCTGAGAGCTTCGAACCAGGCGTTTGCCCTTATGCGCGTGCCGTATCCGGTCTTGACGATGACGACAGTGTCTGTGCCCAGATCGACGGGGTATGCTGGTGGCGCAAATAGCCATTTCTCAACTGGGTGGGAGTTAAGGTAGTGTTGGAACTTCTTGACATTGAATCGGAGGCCGAGACGGACAACGTTGTCGTATGGGAGCATGATCCAGCCAAAGATCAGGAGGGTGCCGAGGAAGAACAGGGCATTACGCAGTCTTCCGAGCGGACCGTATCGCATTTGACGGAGTAGCGCCCGCATCCTCTGTCGCGGGGTAGGGCTTCGTCGCTGCTGGAGCAGAAAGTCGTCTTCGTTTTCAAACTCCATGATCTTGACTCCTAGATCGGGGTCGCCGATGACGACGGGGTGTTGTGATGGGTGCTGCATGGTGGGATTGTCCAAGGTAGCATCATGTCGTCAGCGAAGATGGACACAAGAATAATCCGTTGGACCAAATATTTGGTCGCGACGACGGAAGGCAGTACAGTAGCTAGCCGGCCATTTTGCAACGGTGCCTTTGTGCCGGAATGGAAGCGAAAGGAGGAGAGGGGGAGAGATGGATGGGTGAAAAAGGAGGGGAGCGACAGGCGGCGGTCACAGTGGATGCAGGCTGGCGGCAGGGTGGACGTCAAGGTGCCCTCCCGTTTTGGCTGCGATAGCCCCAGTTTGATTGCCCGATAACGATACGATTACCGGTCAATTACCTCACCAAGGTAAAATAAAGGTAGGTGCCTGGTAGGTACGGCTAATACGGCTCAGACATTTCATTGAAAAAAAGTGTCGGAATGATTGTCCATTTCCATTTCTCGCTGAATTTACAGGCTTCAATTGAACCAACCGTATCGGGAGATTAATGTGCCATGGCTCGCCTAGGCCCTAAAAGAGGTTGGCGTTTTCTGGGCGTTTCTGGGCATTGAAAGCCTTCCTCATTCGTCGTCCATTTCCTCCTTCCATCTTCAAATCTCGGCATCGATTGAACTGAAATAAATCATAACTTCTGGATATCGAGACAGAAATGCCATGTGCCGATGTTCTCTCAATTCCATCCGTCGATCTGATGCGCATTTCCCCGGATTTTCCGGCAGCGACCGACAGCTGATCAGCAGGCACCGTCTGTGCACTAACCACGCTAGGTGGGGCCCCCTTAACAATCAGGTCCGTCGCGAGGGACAGCGCGTCCATCAATGTGGATGAGAGGAAGCTACCAACATCGAACATAGGAAGAAAACAGCGTTGGATCGAATTCAGCTTCAATTAAATCTTCGATTATATCTCTGGCGTCGGGACGCTCATGGACACAAATTTCGAATTTACCAAGGGCTCACAGAGGAAAATACAGCACACGAACGGAGATCGCTCAAACAGCGCGTCGATCATCGCCGAAGCTTCAATGACGTCACGTTCCATCTGTTCTCGAGTTGCTCGTCACTTTTTATCCCAACACTTCACTCATCACACGCAACCTTGGTATGTCGAAATTTGACCATCAGCCGTTGTCTTGTAACAGCGACAACCTCCATCATTCGAGTCCCTCCAACACCTTCCAGCCACCCGATTCATCTCTTCACAAACCTCCACTCACCCCGTCGCCGGCACACTCGTCAACACCAACACCTCACGCCTCAGGCGGCACAACTCCTGAATTTCGGGACAACCAAGTGGGCTTGCTACCACGGAAAGGGATTATGTTGTCTTTAGGCTACCCATCTTCGCTCTTCCCGGCATGCACTCGGCTCTTCTATCCATCCCGCCGTTGATGAAACTGTGCGGAGAAGTATCACCCCTAAACTGCCGATGGCTAGTGGCCACTCCAAGACAGCCAAAGCTGCTCAGCATTCCTTTCCCCTTATAACAATCATTAGAGGTAGTTGTGTCGATGTTGAGCAACATCTCAGAAATACAAGTTTTCCATCCTCGTCGAAGTGAAGGGAGCGAGTATCTAATAATTTAGGTTCCCAAGAGTATCCTCAACACCTACCTACGTTCATCTCCCGACGCACTCAAAATCTACATCATCAACTCTCTCTCCTTCTCTGACTTCCTCAAGTGGGACGGGTAATCCGGTTAATATTCCATCAAAGGCCCAGGCAGGTATTGTTCAAATGCACCCCGGATTTTCTTTTTCTTCAATTGCCGACGAACGACAGGGGGGGCAGCGGCAACTCATTTATACTACTATGCCGGGTAATTTCTAGGGTTACAACCCCAGTCATGCTGTCTGCAGTCATGGTCAAAATACTGTCCTCTTCCCCCAGATATCCAACATGGTAAGGGGGCACAGTGTTTTTTGACTATGAGTTTACCTACCTACACCTTATACTTGCCTATGTATGCCCATGTATTGTGCCGCATTTTCTCCCTGTTTCGTTGCTCACATACATCCGTCCCAATGGTAGCGTGGGGATTTTCCCCCGTCTCCGTCTGAGAGAGAGACGAGCAAGTGCCGTTCTTGGCTCCATCTGGCGTTTACGATACCACTTCATAAGTGAGATGAGTCTTTAGCCGGCTATGGATGTCCTTTGTCTCTTCATGTTCGGGGTTCACATCTGCACAGCCGTAGAAAGGAGGTCATACACTCGCTCGTTACGGCCGCTTTCAGTGTCCAGAGAAATGTAGAAGGAAATTTGTATTTAAGGTTCTCGAGGTGGATTTACGTGTTGCTACAAAGGATCGACTTACTCAAAGAAACGATGGGGCAAGGGGGTATTTGACATGAACGAACGTTCCATCATCATCCTCATCATCAGAACTTCCACTTACTAGACAGATATCCCCCATTCATCCATCACTTCTTCATCGGATGTCCCGCCATACCCGGCAACGCCTCCAACCACCCATCCGTATCCTCATTCACCACGCTCTTCACCGTGCACTTATTCGCCTTGTCAAACGTCTGCGTCTTCAATCCATTGCAGGTCGGCCCAAAGCACCGATTGTCCATCGCATGCTGCAGCCTATCTCCTTCCCACCCAAACACGTAATCACCATGCTGTCCGTACCCCGTCGTGTCCCCATTGCTCAACACAAACGGCTGGCTGCCATCCGTAGGCCAGTCCGCCTTGTTATTAAACTGGCGCGTGTCCCATACAATCTCATAATGCACCTGCGGGATCTTGACCGGGTGGCTAGAAGGGCACTGGGCGCCCACGACAGCAAACTGCGCTGGCCCCGAGACCGGATGGGCAATGTGTTCCGTATGCGAAGGAGAATCGAGGTTCTTGCCATCCCAGCAAATAGGAAAGATGATGCTCGACCGGATTCCGCCCGGGCACGGCTGCTTAGGGAACGTCTCGGTGTCGCGCTGCGGGTCCTGGCAAGGGGCATACGTGTTGCCGCCAAAGTTGGCGCCCGTGTAGCACCGGAAGCACGATTGCATGTTCTTGCCGAAGCCGGGGGAGGTGCGGCGGCTGGAGTCGCCCGAAAACATGCGGAAGCCGGGCTTGAAGGCCGTCACGGTCTTGGGGCCCGGCGCGGTGTAGTAAACGGTGATGCCGGCGTTGGCGGCGCCGATTTGGTCGTTGACCATTTGCGGGACGCGCTTGTAGGTGCCGTTGCGGGCGCGGAAGTAGACGTTGGCGGTCCAGTAGTTGGAGAAGTCCTCGGAAAAACTGCAGGAGGTGCAGGTGGCGAGCTTGGAGATGTCGGCGTTGGGGCCGGAGGGCATGGTGGCGTTGAAGGCGTTCTGGGTGGTTCGTTTATTAGTGTGAGCATTAAAAGGGGGAATGACCGGGAACGGGGAAGAGATTGACGTACGCCGCCGACGACTTGATGGACGTGTGAAGAAGGGAGCATGCCCGGTTCGACAAGTCTGTGGGGGTATTAGTGCCTTTGTTTGCGACCAGAGGTAGGCTGGAGATAGTACTCACGGATCAATACGGTCAATGACTGCTTGTGAACAGCCGAACCGCAACATGTTCATTGAAAATCCTTGGGCCTGAACGGCGGCCGCGAAGGAGAGGGCCCCAAGCCAGTACATGGTCAAGATGACAACAACGCCTCAGAAGAGTGATAGAAGAGGAAGTAATTGGAAGCAATCTTTGATCCAGTGAACTCAGGGACACGACAGTCTGGGTTGACAGAGAGGATAACCTTAGCTTTTAACCAGGCTCATGAAGTATCGAGCAGCCTGGCGTCATGGCCCGTACTCTGTGTTGCTAACGGACAGGAAATTCGAGTTCATACGGTTTGCAAGTGCCGAATGATGAACAATTCGGTAGTGGAGGGTATTTGATAATGCAAAGCATTTATGCGTGCCTATCGGAAGTCGAGATTCATATCGACGTTGTTGATCCTGGACATTTTGCCGGCTCTTGATGTTGCGTTCCAGTCACTGGCCCGACTAGAAACCGGGCAACCATGTGATATGTCATTGAACGTCTATCTCATATCGCGCCTCGCATAGGGTCTCGGCGAAGGAGATTCAAGATATTTCGAAGATGTAATCGGAGAAGTAAATGCCGTTGGATCATCACCATCATCGCCGGCTTTGGATTTTGGACGTTAGAGTTCGCCACATCAAGCTGGCCAGGATGTTGTTAAGAATTTTGCCAACACCCACACTTCATCTTGCCGCTGACGTGCGATAGCCGTTTGATGGAAAGGAAAAAGGAACGTCAAAAACGCCAGGTTTTTACAACTTGCCAGTGCAGTCTGCCGTCAAGGGCCACACAAAAATGGAAGGAGTCTGGCCTCTCTCGCGCATGCTTAGGTACCTTCAATTTGTGTGTTCCAGCGGCAGTTGTCGGCTTTGGTACAGGCCTCCCTGGCTACAAGCCGATAGTTACCTACCACCGCATTCATTACCTCTAGGCTGGCAAGGCACGATGATCGATGGACGATTCCACGTTCAGGCATTCTCGATCCAACAGCCCGGTAGCAGAGGGATGCTCGTACTTCCAGCTCCAGGTGGCGACGCCATGATTTTGATCAACCCTTCTTTCGGTTCTTTCATGTGGCAGTTATTACCTACGCTACTTGCATAGGCTGCCGGGCAGTTTTCCATACCTTACTTACGCGCAGATGCATTTTAACATCCCAGAGGATGCCCGCTGTCCGATGCATCTCCAATAACGCATTATGCAGCGCACAAATAGTGAAAGGTCCTCTCCAAGGTCCGTTGGATCGTGCATCATACGGACCTCATCAGCTCCGAGTAAACAACGTGGGCGGTGAGGAGTATCAGGGCTGATAACATGGTATCGACGTGGCCCATCATAATGATAACCACAACATTCTCCTGGTGTTTTCTAAGGCGAATGGCAGGACTTTCCCTATGACAATCGGTACGTTGTTGAGCTCTCACGATCGTGGATTATTATGTCTTTTGAGTGTCCGGACTGACTTGCTTCTGCAGATGATGATTCGGGGATCTTGGATATCCTGTCGTTACCTTTTCTATCCCCAGGAAGCTGCGAACAACACCTGCGCATCATGGCCGCCGAGCTTCTGGAGACACCTTTAGCATGCAGTTATAAATCGAGGTCCGTTCATACAAAATGTCGGACATTATGTTGCATGCCCTGTTCTAAAAAACAGACATGCAGAACAAAAGGAGGAAAATAAACCACGTCCACCGATATTCTGAACTGTGATAACAAGCAAAATGATACGCTCAGTCTTTCTTCTTTCACACTTCTTTTCCCTATTTATCACCGCACTTTCTTCAAGTTCTGACGATATCCCAATAAAAGCCTAACGACTTGAGATACCCCAAGCAAAGAAGTCATCCTAACAGTCATCACTATCGTATACCGTGTCCCAGAAAGAAACAATGCCCCAATCAAGAGACCAGTTGTACATTCCAGGCCTTCAACAGCCCCTCCTCCGTCGCATGGCGACTTTCCCCGTCATGTTAGCCGCAATCCCCTTCAACCTCCTGTAAGTCCCGTCCCCACAGCCTCTCCCAACCTAGCCAACTCTTCTCTTCTAGAGCGAACCACAACTGACTGGATATCTCTACGCAACACAAGAAAGCAATGGATTGTACAGAACATACCTTCAGTCTGGCTCACATCCCTCCGTGGCCTCAGCGGTAATCTCTGGGCCAGTATCCCCGCCGCCATTACCACCGAGGGGATTTCCATATTTGGCCTCCGTGTCTCGTTCTTCAGTCGACCATCACTGGCCTTATTAGACAGTCCAGAGCCACCACCATCTCTTACCGAGATGACGATTCTTTCCGGCTCACTGACAATTTCGACGGGCGGCAATTTGTACGACGAATCTCCAATCAAGCATCCTTGGATCGCGATCGCCCCGATGTCCGTCGACGCCGATACTTAATCCGCACGTCCGAGATTTACAACTGGCAGTACCGCTTGGTGTTTAGTACCGTGCAAGAACGAGTGCCGCTTGTTCGAGGAGCACAAGCCCGGCCAAGGTTGGCTTGGGGAAGGATCCCTCCCGCTACAATTGAAGAGGATACGTGGAGAGTCTCGGCTCCGGTTCAAGACGGATGAAGAGTCCATTTATGTTGTGACTGAAGCAAGAATGGGTGTTGAATATCCATAGAGGTACCTAGTCATCGGGGCTGCTAGTTGCCGTTGACTACCTAGTGAAAAGACCATAAACCATTTGTTAGGAGAGATTTTGTAACACTGACGAGTGTAGACAATGTAAGGAAAGGAGTTTAGAAAGAGGTCAAGGAAAAGGCATGATGGAAAATAGATGATGAATCACGTATCATGGAAAAGAGATCAAGGAAAAGACATCACAGGACAAGGGTTTAAAAAAGGGGTTCAAAAGAGTAGGTAGTGCTCAGGATGGAAGTACCAGGCTGTGAAGGAGATACCCTCAAATACCTACCTAGATTTCTACCATCAATCGAATCAGGATATCGACAGCTATATGCATAGAAAAGGTCTTTTGAAAACCTAGATAAGGCTCTTGGAAAGCCATTCAGATTGTTTCCAGATTTTTCTCTCGAGCTGCGACATGTTTTCTTGTCGAGTGTGTGTCCTGCTCGAGTGCTGTACTTGTATTGAACTGGAACTCTGTCGAAGCGTGGTGGTGACTTGTACCTAGGTACATGTAAACATCGACATGGGACTGAGAGTCATCGAGCGCCTGAGCCGAAGGTAGGTAAGTACTTGACCCCTAACTCTTATTTTTATTATTTCATCATCCCATCCATTGCCGGTCTCCATCCCTTTGTTTCTCTTAGGTAGGTACTTCTGGAACACCATAGCGGGCCTTCTCCCTCCCCCCGCTGAAGCTCTCCATCTCAGCCCCCATCTTTCGAAAATACCATAGCCCGGACTTCTATACTCTCCCTGGGTGTCGGCGGCTTGCTACAGCTTCCCACCTCAAGTTCGCCGCTGCTAGGTTGTGCTTGTCGAAACGAAGTATGCGGGCAGCCTTTGTTTCACCATCAATGATGAGAGGTATCTGTTAGCTACCTACCTACCTACCCGACATTGACTTCTCGCGCATCTCCAGTCCCGCCCAAAATACGGATTTTAGAATCGAAAGAGACGGGACTCAACTTACACCTCGCTTTCACCACCACCTCGTCAGCAGAATCGAACGTCTTGAAAAGCAGTACTTCGTCCTTGGTCTGCCTATGGAGATAATACCACTTCATTGCCTCATCGTACAGTGGGTAAAGCCCTTCGCCTTGGTAGTTCTTTCGTACGTGGTCGACGGCGATCAAGTTGTGTGGCTGGAGGGTACTGCCGTCGCAAACGGCAAGTGGATAGTCGGTTATGGGGTGTCGAAGGGGCCGCCATGCGCTTTTTCATGTGCAGGGGGTTAGAGACAGAGAGAGATTGTGAACTTTGGTTTGAGGTTGGAAAGAAAAAAAAAAAAAAAATAAAATAAAAAAAGAGGGAGAGAGACGTTGGTCGGGTAGAGGAACCTAAGATGTAGACCGGAGAGGTAGGTAGGTAAGGTAGGTACGTACTTGATGATTCGGAAGCGTCGTTGGAGGAGCTCTTGGGCCCGAGCCCCCATGTGGTGGTTTACTCGTTTGGTGGCGGCTAGGGGGCTTTGATCTAAGATGATGAGGTAAGATTAAAGTGAGTCAGTGTGTTAATTGGTGCCTGGGTTGACTGAAAAGAAAGAAAGAAAAAAAAAAGAAAAGACAAGAGAGATAGATACTAACCAATGTGGACAGCGTGCACGGGCTTCAGTATGAGCATTGGATCGTCGAGATCGATGACACTTCCTGCTTTTGCGGTGGTCCGCGTGTAGTCACTCGTTCGGAGCTAGGGATTACGGAGGAGTGATGGTTAACGGTCTCTTCGAGATTAAATCCGACGACTGCACATGGTGTCGAAGGATCACTTGACATGGAATGCTCAACACTCGCACTCACTCTCCAGTCAAATACCACCACCTCTGCCCCCGGATCAATACTCTGCAGTAATTCCACGATCTTTGGAAGGTAATCACACTCGATCCCTTTCTGGTCAGTTGGTATGGCTCCAATCTCCTGCCTCACTACCTGGAATGCGTGGTCGTCTAGGTTGAAAAGCTCTTCACTGCCTCTGATATCGTGGATGGTCTGTTCTGGGGAAGTGGCGAGAGTGAAGTTCTTTCTGGGACAGCCCTCAGGGGCTTGGGAAATGAACTCGTAGGGCTTCTCGGTGAGGAACTTGGCTTCCCATTGGATGTAATTAAGCCTCGCTTTTTGATCTGCCCGGTCTGGCGTGGCGTCCCTTGGCCGTGGCGTATCTTGTCCGTTTCTATCCATTGGCGTTGTTCGGAGATGATGTCTTTGTGATGATTCGAGATTGAGATGAGACTCTTGTGTTTTGGTGAGATGCTAGGACTGGTCTTTCCTTGCAGAAGGAAATCGGTGTTCAGTGGTGGCTCGGTTCAATGCCTGGCGTCTGAGTGGAAAGGGGAACGAAGAGCCAGTCTTTGTGCACAGCACGCGTGAATTAGAATTGGACATGAACGGTTTTGAGATGATCAATCATCGTGACAATCACAGAGCGTGAAGGTGATGAGCACAAGTGCAAATATTATACGTTAAAAAGCCTCGTCGTTTCTTGTTTGCATTCCCTGTCCCGTGCCGCCCAGTCGCTCATAGTCGCCTTGTGTGTCTTCCCTTCGAAGGTGTACGCACTCCTAGAATCGTTTGGTGATAGGTAAATCCTTGTTGGTGTATGGTATCGTGTCAAATTGTCCCCTTTGATGCAGCCGAATGATTGCGTGAGAGAACCCCACGAATCAGGCTGTACCGAACGCATTGCTTGAGGTTGCGTGGTCCCAGTAGATTTGCCTGCTATCCTGACTCGCCGGTTGATCCAGCCTCGAGATGCCTGAGCAGACCTGATTTCTGCAGGTAGACCAAACCGCATCTCACGGGTGCTGTCTCCACAGCAAGGTCTCGTCGTCAAACCCTCAGGCCGCGATGAACCCAACGCCGCAGGCGCACTCCGCTGAGTGTTTCCCACACTCTTTGCATACGTCGTCCTGCGAACCAGAGCCGCTTTTGGTGCCTGATTGAACGACAAGAAGGTCTCGTTTAGCGTCGTCCTTGTCGGATGAGCTTGCATCCTTGCTGAAGTCCTTCCACGGCTGTGATCTGCCACCGGTAGACTCGGCGAAGTGATCGCTGTTTTTGGGGTCTTCTCCTGATGAAGTTCCAGACATTGCGTTCCGATGTGACTGATCTTAAACAATTGGCGTGTGATGTTGAGCTCAGAAGTCCTGGTCTGAGTTAGTACCGTGGCTGCAGTCTGAGACTAGAGGTTTTGATCCAATGCTCCAGGCGTCTCGTAATGTCCGATAGTGTTGATAAAATGGATGTAGGTAGAAGTAAGTACTGACTGGAGATATGTCAATTTCGATGTGCCTTGACAACCGGGGGATGTTTGGAGATCTCACAACTATGCCTGTCCGAGGACTTACATTAACCCTTTATTTCCTGTAAGACCTGATGAAATGTCGTCTCTGAATGCTGCTGTGGGAATCTCGCTGCCTACCTATCCATCATATCGCGGCCTAAAAGTGTACAAGGTGACTGACGGCTGCCGTAAAGATAAAAAGAAGGGTATCACTGCATATCTGCCTTACTTGCCCCTGTATACACGGCACGGCCACCGCCACTGTTGAATGTTGCATGGACACATCAACGCGGCTCAGTGCTTGGAGCCTTTCCCCGCTGATGGGCAAAGCATGCAGAGGGGTGGTAGCGCTGAAAGTGAGTGGCTTGAGAATCGGAAGAGGTATTGGAAGAAATCACCGAATTTGTGCGCACTGATACGGCACATGATTCCACCTTGATCCGAAAGTTGCAATAACCTCCCGCGTCTCTACACCACCTTTTTGATTACCAATAGTAAAGCATGGGTTTGAAGCAAATCGCCTCACTGGTTACTAGATAGATGACGTCTGTCTAATAACAGGTTTTGAACATCAAGTTACGCGTGGAAAGCCCTGCGAAAAGACGCAGAAAGTCTGGCATGGCGGAAACGACTGAAATTCCATTGCCTGTATTACGTGCGCATGTATACACCTCCCTGCCGACCAGCATGTCACCGTCCTGGACGAGAGAAGTGTGCCTTTTCGGGTAAATATCGTGAGGACTTCCGCGAACCTCTTGAGACCAAGCGCCAGCTCCTCATAACCCTGCGAAGTGTCTCTTGGAGAAACGGTATGACTCCATTTGAGTGCTTTGGAGGGTTTCGTGGGAGATACAACTTGTCCTCACGTCGGGTAAGAACCATTCCATTCCCTGCCCAGTTGAGCGTAACAGCCTCATGGGACCGCTTTGGGCTGAAGTTGAACTGGATCTTGAAATACTCGGGGTCCCATACTGTGAATCGTGCTCGCCGTGCTTGCTGGTTGTAGTCTAGTGCCCACTCAAAGATGTCATCCCTGAGGTGACGGAGCTCATAGAGTTGTGAGTCCCACCCTTGGAACCTGAGCTCCAAACAGTTGTCCTTTTCCCCCCAATTCTTCGGACAACGGATGTCAATGAAAAAATTCCCTGGCCAGCTACCCTTCGAGTTGTAAAATCTCCCGGTGTATACGTCCAGTTCTCGCGGACAAGAGTAGTTTGTGTTGTGCTCGCTGTCAATGCCCGTTCTCATTGTTCTCACAAGCCTGAGTTTCTGGTCTCGACTTTTCTGCGCCAATCCAACGTACTTCTTTGCCAGATCAAGGTACGTTTTCCCTCCATCTTCAAATTGGAATAGCGCGGTGATGTATATCTGAGCGATCCAGTCTGCAACATCGTTGAGTGGCATCGAATTCGTCAGAACCACCACAGCGGAATTGGATTCGGGGAACATGAAGATTGCTGAATAGTACCCAAGCCCGGCGCCTTGATGATAATATGTCATCATTGGTTGTGATTTTGATCCGAGTACTGGAAGCTGGTCCCTGTTGAACAGTTCTGCGTTGTCTCCCTGGAGGCCCACAACATTTGGAAGAGCCGTCCGAACCCATCCGAACCCATAGAAGCGATGATCTCTGGATGGATTGTCCAGAGGCACTTGGTTGCTCAAGATGGTTGCCACATCCTCAAGAGGACCGGAGTATGACCTCTTTTCAGCAGCAAGAATCGCCTTCGCCCATGCAAGAAGGTCGTTGACGCTTGAGTAGATGCCCCCAGCAGTTTCGAATATGCTTTTCTTGAAAGGTGGTCGTATCTTGTTTGGCAGTCGATAAATGTTGCCGTTGTCCAGTGCTGCATGAGCAGACGCAAAGTCGCCGTTTGGGTCTGGAGTTGTTGTGGTGTTGTGAAGTGATAACGGGACGAGTACATAGTCTCGCAGGCAATCTTCAAAGGACTTCCCCGAGTATTTTTCCAGAACCTTGCCGGCAAGACTGTAACCCCAGTTGTTGTAGATCCAATCATTTCGAAATTGTCCGACCTTGCTGAGGGTCGCCACCGCTGGCAAAACTTCATCCTTTGGAAGGAGGAACTCTTGGTTTCCTTGATAGGCGATAGACATATCTCCGTCGAGCCCAGTTCGGTGAGAGATGAAGTCGGAAAGAGTAACCAAGTGCTGTAATCTGCCATCGGTGTTGAAACCATCAATCAGGTCCTTCATCGGTGTACTCCATTCAAACTTGGCCTTCTTTCCCTCCAAACGGACCTTTGCAAGACACGCAATCACGAAGCTTTTTGTCATGGATCCTATGCCGTAGACTGTATCGGGACCAGGTTGGCGTGGCTTAAGATTGAGCTGGTTGCCGGCAACTGTTCCATGACCCTTGGTGAAGATGATCTTATTGTCGTGGAGTACACCCACGGATGCTGAAGGAGCACCCGAAATCTTACACACATCGTCGACGATGGAGATAACGGATTGAAGGCGATTGCGTATGACCTCCTCTTGTGCGCAAAACATGATGATGAAACGAAAAAAAGAAAAAGATCAATGGGAGCGAGGAGGGAGGGGAAACACTACCGAGAACTGGAGAACGCCTTCATGTGAGATGTGAGTCGAGCGCAATGGCACCATGATATGCGCCGCTCTAACCCAGTGCCCTTGTGCACCGTTCTTGGCCTTGTGTGATTGAGTAGACCCAGTGGAATGAGACTGTTCCAGGCCGGGAGCTCACCATCAAAGATTGTATTCCTCTTTTGCGTTCCTATCCTTGCTTTCGTGCGAGGTGGCTTGTATTATTGGAGGTCAATAAGCAAGGTGTTTGTTTGGCTGAATGCCCGTCGGCTCATCTTATGGATGTGCCTGCCCAACAAGTTGAGACACCTTCAAAGCACCTGGCATACCTGCATTGCACTTGGGTGGGGGACACTGACACTCGAATGCCTGCGTGAAATGGGATAAGTCTTCCTGCCATCTTTGGGTAGGTATGATATGAGCGACCGGTCGCACCTACCACATCGAATTACAACGCGAGCTGACATTTTCGGAACAGCCTGTGTATCAAATGTTTTATGCCTGCATGGGTCTTGATGGCTAGAGGTAAGGAGCGTGCTTACTTCGAGAGTGGTTGAAATGTTCACCGGTTTCCATGATTGTGTGGATAGTCTGTAGTGTGGGAGTGACTGGCTCACACAAAGGTAATCAGCCGGTCAGCAAAAGGTAGGTAGGTAGGTACCTATGTACGCCCCCACCTTCCGTCGAGATACATATAGCCAGAGTAACCAGGTGTCCAATCAGTCCATTATGAATTCGTGATGCGGGGTTTCTCAAAGCTGATTGAGACGAACCTGTAAGGTTGTGTTCGGGGCCGCTGTATAGCTGCAGAGAAAACCCAGTCCTTGTGTTTGTTGGAATTTTGGTTGACTGAAGGGTAGAGGACCGTAGAAATGGTCAACGGAAAATGTAGCACATCGCGGTACGAGTTCTGGCCTTCTGATTGGTCAGATGGAGGATTTGGGGTAAGTGCAGGTGGTTGCGGTTGAGTGCAGCGACACTTGCAGATTTCACTTTAATTGAGGAGAAGGAGAAAACCAAGGGGGCAGGGTAGGGTGGGAAACATAAAAAGCGGCTGTATAACTGTGCCTCTACAGCCACAAACTTGGTCCTGTTGCTTCCCCTACCACCATATCACCTACCCGGACACCCCCAAGTGTAAGAAGACAACGAGGATTAGTTCTTTCGAACTACCCTTCGGCATCAGAGCTAATGGAATGTTGGACAATACAAGGGCATGGAAGAGGTAGCCTTCTTCCAATTTTTTTTACCTTCATCATATTCACTGCAGCCTGCTTTGATATCCATACCTTTTTATCCTCCTTCACATATCTTTTCAAGCTACTTGCGGTCATTATTTTCGGTGTGTGGGAGAGGTATGTAGGTAGGTATGTCATCAACTCGATGTCGCTCAACACCGTTTCCTGCTCTTGATGCCCAGATAACCCACAACGTATCCCCTACCCATAACACTCAGGGAGGGTCAGAACAGGCCAGGTGTGGCGTACAGCAAGCACTTCAGGCTTCTTATTGCTTACCCATCGGAACCACGATTGGCAACAACGGTCACACGTTGACATGTACTACCCCAAAGCTCTGCCGTCAACTGGAGGACGCACGCCTTACTTCGGTCAACGATGCGAATTTCAACGGGTGAGGGCTGAACATACCTCTAGAAATACCGTCGAAAAGTCGAATGAGGCTCTGTAGCCGAATGAGCCTTTCTCTGAGCATTATAAAGTGCTAGCCAAGCGATGTTTACAGTCAGTGTAAGATCCTGGGCCACTTCCACTATCGGTTGTACAATTTCACCATACCTCTAAACGGCAAATATCGCGTCCCGATTGTGGTACGCAAACACGGCTCTCGCATTGGCCAACACTCGTCCTACTTGACCGTACGCATCACTGAAAGTGGAACTCTGCAGTTACGAACGTACCAGCATGTCTCAGCTAGAGGCACTCTTCCCAACGGATGTAGCACTTGTACCTCAACACACACGGGCTCAAGATGCCAAAGACAAGGTGGACAAACTCAAAGCAATGCTGCACCAGCATGATATTGAAGCCCCCAAGGACGTTCTGGATGTCTTCATGTCAAAACATGCATGGCGAAAGCCGAGATGGTTGGACAAGCTTCAAACTGTTACCAGCAACATCCAGATATTCTACAACGCCATTGGTTCCATCTGTCAAGCACATGGAATTGCTTCAGTGGTGAGTACACCGTGCTCAACGTCATGACCTTTGGCAAGAAGCAAGAATGATTGAGTGAAGAGGGACTAGAACTGATGACATCTTGTTCTTAACGCAGGTTTGGGGTGTTTTGAGATTTATATTGGATGTAAGTCAACTCATGCTATGCTTATTCTACGGCTGTCTGCCAGAACTGCAGGGCGAAACTGACAAGCAATTTACTCCTAGGCCTTTGGCAGATATTTCGGTCTTTTGGATAGAGTTGTCGACATCTATGATGAAATGACTCGAGCTATGCCAGTGCTGAAAGACTACGCGAAGCTTTATGCCGCTTGGCCAACCGTGTCGGATTCTCTCTTGGATATCTACTGCTCTTACCTTGATTTCTCTCTAAATGCGGTCGAGATATTTAACCGCAATCCACTCAGTAAGACTTTATGCCTCTATTGTTCAATCTGCAAAGATTCACTGACAGTAGGGACACTGTTCCAACACAGAGGTGATCTTTAAAATGACAGTCCGCTTCTCCCCTATCGAACTGACCCTCAGAGACGCAGCGAAACAGATTTCCAGTGCAACTCAATCTTTCAGAGATCGAATAGGCTTTGTAAGGGACGCTATTGGTGTTGAAACCTGGAAGATAGTCGACACCAGAGAGGTAACATCGATTCAGGGACCATCAAGTCAAGAAAGCCCTAAACTTTCCAGAATTTTCTCAGTCCCAAAGGCCAGAAATGGAAAGTTCTGTGGGAGGAAAGAGGTGCTTGCACAGCTCGATCGCGACCTCCTCCCAGCCCAAAGCTCACCACAAAAGTCTTGCACCTTACACGGGGCACCCGGTATGGGTAAAACCCAGATAGCACTCGAGTTCGCTTATCGATGTTGCGAAACCTTCCCAGACCTCCACATTTTCTGGGTCCCCGCCGAAGATGAAACCGCTCTTTCCCAGGCTTTTGGCAAAATAGCACGGCTTGTTGGGGTGGGAAGGGATGTTTCGGACCAGGCCAGACTTGTTGAGAATGCAATTGCCTGGCTGTGTGAAAGTGAGTCCTCGGTGTCATTCCATGGAAGCTTCGAATACGACACAGGTACTCACTCCCAGTGATTTCGGGTGACAGACACGTCATGGTTGATGATCTTCGACAACGTCAACAACCCCGGCATCTTCAAGAAATACCAGCCATGTTGCAATCATGGCTCGATTCTTGTCACTAGCCAGTATCAAAGGACAATACACGCCACGACAAAAGAGATACCACTGAGGCACTTGACACCTCAAGAAGGTTCAGATTTCCTCCTTGACCACATTCCCGAGCAGCAAAAGCTGCATATGGGAGACCCAGGCTCGCTGGCCCAAGTGTTTACAAGCATGTCAGAAGAAGTCAACGGGTCCCCACTGGTCCTCGTTGGAATTGCCGGGTCCATCATTTCTTCGGCAGTTTCGGCGGAAGGAGCTCTCATAGAGTTGCAGCAGTCAGGGAGTTTGGGCAAGAGAAACCCAATTACGAATGGTCATTCCGCCTGGGCATACGACCGACCTATTGACTCTGCATGGGATATGGCATTGAGAGCAGTACCTGACAAAGGATTGACAATACTGAGAATCATGAGCATGCTTGCGGCGGATAACATTCCCGTTGACATTCTCAACCGCGATCTTCAAGGCAAGTTGAGTTTCTTGGGATATCAAGACTCTGCACGGTATGTATCTGGTATCTACCTTCCGCACCAAGCAGCTCACTGCTTCCCTCTTACAGTCTTGCAAAAGGCAGTTGAGGCGTGTACACCCTGACTAACGCACTTTCCCCAATACAAGCTTCCGCCATGAAATCCAGGCTGCTCTTGTGGAACGGTACCTGGTTGAGGACAGCAATCCGGCGTTGTCTTGGTCCTTCTACAGCATTCATCGGCAACTACAATCGAAGATTTTGCGGGATCTGCAAACCGTGCCCCATCAAAATCAGCTCACATTCGATCGTGCCGTGGCACTCATTGCACGAGACTTCCCGGCTTTCCCAAAGTTCATGACGCCAAACTTCTCACAGTGGCCATCAGGCGAGAAACTGATTGCCCATGTTCTCAAGCTCAATTCGGTTTATCGTGCTAACGAAAGGAGCCAAGACCAGGATGAAACCCCAACGGAGGTTCCTCTTGTCCCCAGCATGGCCTTTTCTGAGCTTCTTACCGGTGCTGGGTACTACTTGTACGAAGTAGGACTCGCGGATTCGTGTGTAGCGGTCTTGGAGACAGCCGAGAAGATTTCCCATGAGTTTCGCACTTCTTCTACGGCCGAAGCCACTATGCAAGGAGGCCAACCGTCACCATATGCCAATTCCCTGAAGCTCGAAACAACTGCCATTGCAATATCCTGGGGCATCATTGAGCAGACACAGGGGCTGACGGGTGCGCGCAAAGCCATGGCAAAGGCAAAGGAAGTGGTCGCTTTGCGCGAGAATCATGCAAGTCTACCTGGCCTTTCCTCTGGCGATCTGTTCGAGAGTCAAGTCCTGCTATCCAACGCCTACAACGACATTGGAATTGAAAAGATTCATATGCACCAATACGCGAGCGCTATGGATTACCTCCATAAATCGCTCGATCTCAAGGGGCAGTTGGAAACACAAGGCCTCACAATACCGGCGTTCGAATTTGCCGAATCCATCAACAATATGGGATTCGCAGCGCTTGGCCAGAATCTTACAGAAGAGGCTCTGAAATACAGCGAAACGGCTGTGGATCTCATCTACAAGGATGGCAGTCATGACAGCGACGTAACCCGCTTCACCTTCAGCCATGGAGTTACACTTTTCCTTAATGGCGAACCGCAAAGGGCACTGGATGTGATGAAACAAGTTTACCAAAATCGTAAGGACATCTTTGGTGAATCGGGGCGTCAAACAAGAGACGCTAGTTACGCCGTCAGCTTCATTTACTACGCGCAAGGCCACTTTGAAGACGCCAGGTACGTTTCCTGCCACTTCTTTATTCTCTCTCTCACCGCTTGATGGCTCATGATTGCATCTCATGCAAGTGCTCAAGAACTATCCTCACCTATCACTGCAGCTCCCTAGAGGTACCGAAGAGATGTATTGACCCCTGACTAACCCGACTTGCCCCCAAGCAAAACCATCCAAGGATGCTTCATCAAACAGGCCAAGAGCATTTGGCCAGCAGAATGCCTTACCCGTGCCAAGTACCTGGAGTCGCGGATTCTACAAGCGCTCGGAGACATGACCGAAGGTAAAAAGAAGCATGACGAGGCACTCCATGAACTAGACGGGTATCTGTCTCAGATTTTCCCCAAGGCCCATGCGCAGAAGGCCGAGCGAGACACAGTTACGTGCAGCAGTCATGCATATCTCATGGCTGCTGATGAGGCACTGCGGTTTGATTATGTCGTTCCGTTCTATGCGGGAAGATTTGCTACGGGTAAGAGTGCTGGACGTGGAAATGGGAGGGGGTGTTATCCGCCGCTGGAGGACCTGGAATGTCTGCTGGATGTACTTGGAACTCATTTCTTGGTTTCCACCTTTTCTTGATCGCAACGATCATTGACGATACCCCTTAGGTAGACTTGGTTCTGGTGCCTTTCCATTTAAATTTGCTTGTAGATACTCGGTCAGACTTTTTCTCGCTTCATTTCACCTTATGCCTTGCCATGCACGGCCTTCCCGTGTATTTTACAGAGTAGGTAGTAGAGATAGCTTTCATGATCCAAGTTCGCTGCATGCTGTCCATGACGGATCCTTCATCCTCACTCCTCATCGTTCACGCCCACGTTGAGCGATAGCTATAACCTGTCGACCTTCAACTGATACAGCCCCATCTTACATATCTTGCTTTCCTTCCCCTTCTTTGCATCCTCCAACAGCGCTTCCACATCTCGTTCCGCGTCCACGTAACGCCCGCTCAAAATCTCTGCATCCTTCCCCATGGCAGCCAGCCGCACACAAACCTCCGCAAACTCTTGCGCTCTCGTGGCAGCATTATCCCCTTTCTTCCCTGCATCCTCGATCCGTTCAACCATATTTCTCACCCTCTCGCTCTCCCGATAACTTCGCTCATCCACACTATCCTCCCTCTTCAAAATGCCCGTCTCAGGAATATTTCCCGGAACCACAAAGAAATTACGCACCCCCCTATGTGTACCGCCCACCTCCCTCTCGAGCGTCTCATGAAACTTCAACAGTCCCGTCTTCGACACGTTATACGCCGCCATAAACGGCACCGGCACCACTGCGTTCCTGCTCCCCACGCTCATGATACATCCGTCTCCAGCAGCCAACATCCCCGGTAGGAACTGGTACGTCAAAGCCACGGGGCCCGTCAAGTTGGTAGCGATCACTTTGTTCCAAGTCTCCATTCCTATATGTATTCCTCCTTTGTGTTCTGCTGCTGCTGTCTGGTATTCAACGGCTTCGACCCGGGCTATCCCCGCGTTATTTACTAAGATTGTGACTGGTTGGTTGACCCATTTTTGGATGTCTCGCTCGAGCTGGGGGAAAGACGAAGGGGCGGTGACGTCGTAGATGAAATCCCGAGCGCGGTCCTTGCACATGTTCCCTGTAGCATGCATGTCCGGGGAGAAGGATAGGGACATGGAGGCGTTGATTAGTGTGGCGGTGGTGGGATTGGGATTGGAGGAGGAGGAGCCGGAGCATACGGAATCGAGAGGTAGAGGTAAGGAATGTGATACGCAGGCTACGAAGCAGCCGGCGCGGGCAAAGGCAAAGGCGAGGGAGCGGCCGATGCCGTGGCTGGCGCCGGTTATGAGGGCGGTTTTGCCGGAGAGAGGGAAGCTGGGGAGGGATGAGGTCCTGGCAGAGGCAGTAGGTGAGGAAGGAGGTTGGTGAGGGCATATTCCGGGCATTGTGGGGTCTTTCGTGGTTCAGATGCGCTGGTGTGGTAAGAGTGTTGAGAGAAGAGGGGAGAGGGGTTGATGGTGGCTCTTGTAGTGGATGATGGGTTGGAAAACGGGATGTTCAAACTGGGAGAAGCGAGCAGATGGGGATTTCGTGCTACGCGGGGTTGGGTATGAATAGGAAGCAGGAGCTGTTTGGGAAGGTACCTGTACGGATGCATGCCGATACCGCTGTCCTTGCAGGTGGCTTTAGCTTTTGTTGCTTAAGGCGTCGGCTTGACTTTGAACAAGGACGTCTTCTTTGCAGAGACTTTAGGGTTTTTTCCTTCTGGCGAGTTTCGACTTCACATTCTGGAGACTACATTGACCAAGTGACATATGTATAAGCAGCAACCGGCTGACATCGGAACTTACACCGGACAAAAGTGGGTTCAGGTACCGAGATGGACCCCGGACTCGGAGTGGAGACACGGGAGCCCACTTCCCTGATGAGGAAGGCAAAGACGGAGTCGCGCGGGGCAGTCATGGGCCTCATGGCAGGCAGCTGTGACCTTTGGATAATCGAAAGACGACGAGCTTGACAATACTTTCCACTTCCTCCACCAAACCATGACAAACCAAAAGCGAGTGCGAAAGATCGACAACACCCATCAAAGTTATCGACGACAACGACTGTCGAGTTTAATGAATGGGCCGCCTCATCACATCCACAAAGAATACCGACGACCATCATATTCCCGAGTCACCCCTCCGGCCGAATGCCAGCCAGTCCTTAAAATCACCAGCAGCGCCGCACCGATGCCATTCGATCGGACCAACAAAGCCATTCTGAGCATTGAGCCACCGGCTGGCTGAACCTGACAAGCGCCCGTCGGCGATGGGCAAAAAGCCAACATCGTAAATCGTCATTAGGTGGCCACCAGGCCTCCAGCTGGGTGGACAACGTCCGTTAACTTTACCACTCAGCGGCCGCGAAACAGTGGGAAGCTAATCGAGGCGCTGTGCATCGCTGTGCTGCCCCGCGAGAGTGGGAGCCAATCAGATCGTCGGAGGCCGCTTTTACACGCTGAGTGGCTTCGCTGGTCTTTGCCGCTCCGCCAGTGATGGTGGTCCTTACTGGTCAACAAATCCTCAAAATCCTAAAAAGCATCCCAAAATGGTCTGGCCCTTGTCCTGTCCGGACCAGTTTCTGAGCTGACTGGACATGGAAATTTTTGCGGTGCGGCGGAGTCAGTGATATCGCGAGACTTGTCAGTTCATGATGTAAACAATGGGCGGGTCCGGTCTTCGTTTCGAGTTAGATGTCTGCCGAACCGGATCCCGGAGCTCTGGTCACACCCCAAATATGGGGTTCAACTGATCCTTTTCTCTTTCCTAGCTTAAACTATAGTTTGTTGGATTCTCCGTCCCATTCTTCTCTCTTTTTGTCTCTCTTTGCTTTTGCTGGGCTGCTGGGCAGACAACGTTCATTTCAACTTTCCTGTCCAGTCAACCTTGTCTTTCCCATGGTGATGCGCGAACACATGGACCGTGAAGACCTCTAACCAAGTTCAATCTTTCTCAGCAAGGTCATCATGTTTCGTTACTAAGGAGTTCACATAACTGCCACATACCGGACACAAAGTCCATCACTACAACAGACCGGGTACACATTCCGTCCATCACAAACTCCATCGCCACCGTAACCATGGCTGCAGGTTGGACACTCCAAGACATGCCGGCCATGATGCCGCCGGAGGGTCAGATGCCCAACTTTGTCAATCCGGAGACGATGCATCCTATTGTGCTTGGGGTTGCCATCGGGACCATGGTCTTGATGGTTATAGCACTTGTCGTACGAATCTTTACCAAGGCTTTCCTTCTACGAGAGGTCAAGCTTGAGGACTACTCCGCCATCTTGGGCACGGTATGGACACTGGACTAGCTCATGACAACCAGATACTAACCCAGACGCAGGCTGGCATCATCCTTTGGGAAGTCATTTTCATCTATCAATCGAAGCATGGCTTCTCCCGTCATCTCTGGAACGTTCGCTTCGTCGACATATCGAATCTCTCATACGTTAGTACCCGTCACTACCATTCCTGTCGGTCTCCGCCAAATTGCTGACACATTGCAGTGGAACTACCTCGCCGAAATATCCTATGCTTCCACCATGTTCCTTGCCAAATCCTCGATTCTCCTCCAGTTCAGACGCATCTTTTGCCCCGGCTCTCGAAGAGATTCCATCTGGTGGTGCATCCACATCCTCTTGTTCCTTAACGCCGGCCATTCGTTTTCTGCCATCTTTACCTACACCTTCCAGTGCACGCCCCGCGAGAAGGCATGGAATCCCTTGATGGAAGGGCATTGCATCAACATTGCAGCAGCGATTATCTTTGGAGGAGCAATGAATTTGTTTCTGGATTTGGGCATGTTGATCACCCCTATTTGGGCGATCTTTCGGTTGCAGTTGCCTATGAGGAGGAAGGTTGGCGTTTCGGCGGTGTTTGCCGTCGGTATCTTGTAGGTTTCACGGCAGGACTTCCCTTCCCATTTTCATCTGCTAACACACAAGCAATAGGACCTGCGCTATAGCAACCGTTGGCGTCGTCGTCCGCATTCCCCTCCTTTCCGACCCCGACCTGACCTGGATCATCACAAAAGTCGGCATCTGGACTATGATCGAGTATTGCGGCACGATTCTCGTCGGATGCATGCCTTCGTTCCCCCGCTTCTTCCTCTTCCTGCGGGGCAAAGAGCCATCGATCACGAACAATGCGACCCGTGGCTCTTACACCACCCGATCGAGGCCGAAGACAGCCGGAAGCACAAAGTCGAACGTGACGGGGAAGAGACCATGGACGGGACACAGTCACTCTATGAGCACCAAAACTGTGAACTCACACGTATATAAGGACTCTAATGCGACAACAGCCGTGGGAGTCGCCAGTCCTCAATCCCAATCAGCAAAGAGGCTGATTTCCCCAACTCAAAGCATTACCTCCAGCAACACCTTTGTCAGCCCGATAAGCCCGATGTCCCCGGTCTACGGGTCGCCAATCAACAACAGCTATAACAGCAGGAGGAGGGACTCGGAAATGGAAATGGGCCTCCACGTAGGAGTAGGCATCGCCATATCGACCGACCGTTACGAAGAACCTTTTGCCAGCCCGCCTCGCACCCCGCGCAGGCCAAGCTACGGCCACAGCTACGGAGATCTGGAAATGGGATACGGAGGATACGGTCCAGGGCCAGGGCCAGCGGTGACAAGACCGCGACAAGCCAGCCATGGCACAATCAGGAGCAACAGAAGTGTGCAGTCGCAAACGCAGAGATATCACAGCAGGTGGAACTCTTCGGTATCAGCGGCGTCGGATATGTCGGGGTCATTTGGGGGTCGGTATGGGATTGGGACGTACTATGAGGAGGCGAGTGGGGAGGATGATTGGTCGCCTTTGGATGGTTCAACGGGAGGATATCCAATGCCGGGCGGGATGATTTGATGGGGTGTCTGCGCTGGACGTAGGCGGATTTGCATCTGATGCACATGGGGAAAAATGAGAATAAAGTTACAAAGGTCATTTTTTGTTCTTTGGAATACTGCTGCACATTTAGCATTGTTTGTTTTCCTTTTTGCTTCAATATGATACCCTCCTATTTTGGCCTTGTAAACATTTGACTGAATACATTTATAAGTTGAACCTTCGTGTGGGATCAGCAAGGACAAAGGGCATGTTCGGTGTCAAAGGTACAACGCAGCAGTTGGACACTCGAGCACAGCGATACAATTATCTTGATCCGAACCACCAAAATGTTGATATTTGGAGTTTACGTCATCCTGACCCTTTATTATTTTTCCTCTACGAGTAATCGAGTTGCCGCGGGTTTGAATCGCAAGAAGGAAGTTGCGCGCCAAAGTCACTTCTTGTATCTTCTACGAGCGTGCACCGGTGCACGTACCACCCCACCCAGCCCAAAATGTAGCTGCCTAGATGTACGCGTGTATCCAGTCTACAGGCAGGAACGATACGTTATTGTAAAGACTCGGGCCGTTAATGTTTTTGTAGGTTGCCTCAAATTGCCTTTAGGTAGCTATAATCTGGAAGCAGGCTGCAACATTTATGCTCGCTAGAAGTTGTATGTAAGACAGTGATGTTAAATGTACCTACTCCTGAATGTCCTTAGAAAGATGCCTTTAGAGAGGAAAGACGGGGCACTACAAAATCGAATGTACAATCCTTCGGGGTGTGGCAAATATATCTAACTTCCTGAAAACCTAGAACTTGATGGCCGTAGTTTCTGCGGTAGTTGCCTAGCTCTTTCTACGTGTTCACCAATCTTCTGTCCCCAACTTTTAGTCTTCTCCCTTTGCCAGGAAATCATTATTCTGTATTCCAAAGTTCGCATCAACGATCCTTCGTTCCATAAGAAACCGGTCTTCAGTCCCAGTTTCGATTCCAAGCCCGCAACGCAGTCCAGTAGTCCAGTGCAGCACCACTCTACACCTACCCAAAGGTGTACTCACTACCTAGGTACCTACCTCCCGTCCAGTATGTCCTGACCAGACGTGTACCGACATTCTCTGGTCCCCACGGTATTTTGCGATCATCGAAGGGAAGCGAACCTTCACCAACCTCTGTTCCAGTCCCATCAGACAGTTTCCAACTTTCAAGCTTTATAAATACATCTACCTATCCCAGGTCCCTTGAGATTTTCCAAAATGTCAACCACATACAAGACCGATCTCCATTTCCAACATGAAACCGGCAAAGACGACAACATCCTCTCCCAAGAAGAACTCCTCTGCTACCGCCCCATAAGCCAAGCATGCCACGCCTACTGCAAGGCCGCGGGTCTTGATCAGGACTTGATGGTTGCCGTGACGACTATTATTATCTTTTTCGTGGTGGTTATTTTGGTTGGGGCCTTTTTGTGGGTGAATCATAATGAGGAGTGGGATCGTCTCCCGAGAGGTACATGTAGATGCACATGTATATGTGGTCGACGACAGAAGGAGGATATGGATCTTGAGAGGCAGGGTGGTGGACAGGGAAATGGAGAGGGAGAGGGAGAGGGAGGTGGACAGGGAGGTGACGGTGAAGGGGTGAAAGGGGGATATATGGACGTGTTGTACGGCGGTAGCGATGGTGATAGGGACGGGGACGGGGACGGCGACAGTGACAGTGATAGGGACAGGGACAGGGACAGTGACGGCGACAGAGACAGCGGTAATGAGAAGGATACCTAGGTACCTCTAACGAGAAGTAGTTGGAGATGGAGAACGAGGAGGGGAACCATTGTCATGATGAGCAAAACACGAGGGGATTCTTGGTAGGTATTGAGGGGTATGTGAAGGAGGTACGTGAATCGCAAGCGACTACTGCCCTCGCACATGGGAAGAAGGAACTGAATATGTCATGGGAAAAGGTGGTGGTTTATACAGCACCGGAAGCGGGTTTAGCGGCACAACGAGGAGAGGACATGGAGAGGAATGATGAGGTATGAGAGGTGGATTCTATCCGTAAGGATTTGCGGAGAGGGCTCGTTTGTTCGGGTTATCTTTGGTAGTTCATTACATTTCGAGTTCGTTCGCGACGGGGAAGAGTATGGATATCTCTTAGATGAGGCAATCAGAGGTTGCTTTGGTTATGAAGCAGAGATGGAAGTAATTGCTGAAGGAGACGGCACGGATTGGTGGATTAGCGTGCCACAATTTATGCGAATTAGAGTTCTCTGTCTCTACCCAGGTATAGTTCACTCGTCGAAGGTGCGAGTTTCATACACTTTACAGCGAGTGGTTGGAAAACCATCTACTCTGGCTGGTATATGATGTTGGGGTTGGTTCATTGCTTGGGTGGTTTCTCTAATGTTCCGTGGGCCCTGCTTTGTTCATCTGTAACCTTTCTCGATGAACAACCTAGAAGCTACTTCAAAGCCTCTTGAGTACCGGTTTTCCTCAGGGACTCGATTTGGTTCCGACTGGGAAAGGCACTCAGCGTGTCAGCAAACTTGAAGACAGAAAATACTGTAGTTCCTGCGTGCGATCAAGGTTAAAAACAAACTAAGCGATTGACTAAAATCGCTAAGCCTGTCGAGCCTGCGAATTCCCTCTTTTTGCTGGTTGATGGTATTCGTCTTTGGACTGACGACTTCAAATTCTGCCTCTCGATGCTTTCTTTCTTATCTCCACAATAAACAAAACAAGAACTGTTCCGTAATGTTCATCGTTGAAGCACCGTCAAAGGAAGTCATAGCAAGCAAGCAGGTGAAGTGCCACCACAGGGCCCCGGGGCCGCCAAGCCCCGCCATCCCCATAAAAAGCGGACCCATCCACCCACCCAAGCCAAGCACTGCATCGTACTATCGTAGATTCGTAGGCCTCATTACAGTTAGGTTACATTTCCTCTCACAAAAACAAAGAGAACCAAAAAAAAAGAAATCTCCTTCGGTAAGGATCGAACTTACAACCTCCAGATTAACAGTCTGACGCGCTAGCCAATTGCGCCACGAAGGAAATGCTCTGGGACAAAGCACGCGCCATTTCGCCACGGATTGGACCCGTGATTTGGCGCGCGATTGCCAGGCGACTTTGTGTACTTCTTTGTCCTGGACTTGGGGATTATATACCCACCTCACCTTACTTCATCCACGACAAACTGAAATCATAGTTACCGTCAAATCAGCTTTACCTCTGTTGATACATACAGCCTCTGTAAAACATTCACCACACTTTTAGTTAGCAGGATAAAGATGTATTTTCACGACCAAAAGACTTACAAGACTGAGCTGCTTAATGATTTGTGGTGAATCAAGATTTTGTTTGGGTGGGTGAAAAAGGTGGTTGAGTTTTGACTGCCTACCTCAGCTGCATCGAAAGATGGACGAAAAAAAAAAAAGGTACACCACCGACCAACCGACTGGACTGACACTACACACACCACAACGTTGGAGGGTAAAACGAGCGTTGAAGGGAAGACCTATGGTACTCTTTGAATTGATACCAACTTCATCTCTTTACCGATATCATGTGAAAAGATATGGAGTACAGTCTCTCTTTCCTCCCTCCTTTTCTTTTTCTTTTCTTTTCTCTTCTTGTTTTTTTGCTTTCCGTTCTTTCTGATGCACTTTCTCGTTGCACCTTTTCGTTTCGGCTTGTTGCTTCGCACATCTTCGCACATCTTCAAATTTCGCACATTTTCGTAGAGGTACTTATCATTCATTGTCCAGCGACATCACCTTTTTCTGCATCGACTCTAGACCAACGAAAGAAGACATGAGGGATTCTGGCACGTCCTCTTAACTTGTGTGGTGGCTTTGTTCATTCCATGCAGAGCCCATCCGTCTTTCTTCAAACTCCCTGGCGATCCTCCGCCTCCTCAACTCCTCCCTTGCTTCCACCCATCTCCCCATCTGCTCGTCTACCGAACCGTCGACAAGGGCCGGCAAGACGGCAGGGCGGGTATCGATCTTTAGCATGATTGCACAGATGCAGAATGAACAAAGATCCCTCCGATCGATACCTGCATCAAGGGTTAAGGTCCAACCGCCCCTTCCGCTGTCAATGATCTGGATGATGGTTTACTTTCACGAAGTCCAAAGATCACATGGAAGCTACAAACAGCAAAATAATGTATACTATCTATCATTCGTCAAGCTATCAAAAAGCTCCTTTGGCCTAGCTAGCTCGTAATCAACACTGTACACGTAAACCCAAGCAAGCATTTGTTCGTTCAAACTCCAGTACTCCATCATCTGAAGCAAATAATCCCCCAATCCATGATATCTTCATCAATTCCATTCCACAATCCTCAAGGCGTAAGCAAACGCCTGTAAACTCCATTCACAGCCACGTAGCGTGTCATGGCTCTTTCTCGGCCTTGACGTTCAGCCCCAGCTTCCGAGGACGCCTGCCCCTCATGATAGGGACCACTGTTATAGACATGTACTGTACTGATCCATCCATCAGGGTGTTCCGATGATGATGTTGATGGCGATGTCGTGACAAGCGTTGAAGGTGATGCTCGACTTAACGAACAACAGAAGAGGATTCATCCCAAAACCACTAGCATTCAGCAATATCCACCTCCCCCAAAACACCCTCACGCGCAGGCGAGGACGGCACGCTCTGCTGGTCCTTCGCGCTCTCGCTCTCCCAGAGCTCAAAGCTCTCACCCGTGCCCTCAATCGGCTCCAGAACCGCGGCCTTGACCGGTCCGTCGTGAACGCCCATGATGCCATCGACGCTGTCCACATCGTCAGAGTCGCTGCAAGAGCTGGTATCGGCTTCATCGGCTTCATCATCCTCAAAGTTGTCGACGAAAATCTGGGGAATGTCGCTGTGTTGCTTCTCTTCGCTGTCTCCTGCCTTGTCGCCTAGAACTTCGGGACCAGCAACAGTAGCAACAGCGTCATCCTCATCTCCGGGCACCACAAAGAAATCTTCGTCATCCGTTCCCTCAGGCCAGAAATCTTGGCTGTCCATCTCCTGCAACGGACCCCTGTTCTTCTCCACAATCATGTCATCCGCATCCGAACCTGCATTCGAATTTGCACCTCGTGTCGAAGGAGTCCGTGCGGACTGGGTCTGGCTGACATCATCGGTAGGCGGCACGTTCTCCTTGTCGCGTCCCTCTGCGCACTCGCGCGTCTCGCGCTTTTCGGTTTCTTCGTCACTGCTGATGTCGAGGACGCAGGTGCTATGCTGCAGGAGGTTGGTCATTTCCTGCTCGGGAGTGTCTTCGTGGATGTCGAAGAACCAGTCAGACTTCATGGTTGAGGGGGTGAAGGATTCGGGTTTGGTGGTGGTGGATTTTGTTGACTTGGTCTCGCCAAGGCCGCCGGAATAGCTGGGAATGATACCCTTGAGGGCGGCATCGAGGGAAAAAGGTGCAGAAACTCCTCCAAATGAGGGGGGATCGACGCGCTGGATGCGGCGCTTGGAAAGGATACCGCCCTTCTTGGAGCCGCGAGTGGGGGATCGGCCGGCGGGGGCAGTGAGAGTTGTGGGAGTGGCAATGCGAGTGTTGAGACGAATCTGCTGAGACTTGGCTTGGAGGATATGCCTGGGTTGAGTGGATGCGTTGCCGAGAATGCTCTTTCCGAGAGAAATGACTGGTTTGCTGGCCTTCTTGAGGACATACTGGGAAGGCTTCATGATGTTGGAGTGCGAAGACTTTGCCCGCTTCGAGAACATGCTGGGGTCAACATTTTCGGCATCGTCAAGAGGATCAACCTCAGCGGCCTTCCTCTTGGTAGAGAGGGCTAGAAGATGGTGTTAGCTATGTGATGTTGCGGGTGCATCGATACGTCGTTGGTAAGGAGACAAATGAACCGAATAGAAGAGGTGCAGTCCAGGCGGCAGTAGAAAGCAGGAGACGAACTTACCATTCTGTCTGTTCTTCAAACTCGTCAGTCCCGACAACCTCCCCTCATTAAGGGGAGCAAACGGTTGACGACTAACGGCAGCCATTGTGATGGATGGTAGAATATTACTGTAAGGGGAAGAAAAGAGGGGACAGCTGCGGAGTTAAAAGGGTGCAAGGTACACACGAACGCCGCGCGCTGTTTCGCGGAAGCGCGGGTATGACGGAACTTGCCAGGCGTGGTCCCGCGAATCTTCGTGTGGGTTTCGCTGCTGCTTCGCGTACTGTGAAGGAGCGGGCGTAGAACAGGCGCAGAACCCGAACCCAAGGAAAAGAAATGCAAAAGGTAGAGGTAAGCGCCGAGACACAGGGGCTTGGCTCCAAGTGCCCAGGAGATAGGAGGAGAGAAAAATGCGGGGGTTGTGTGTGTGGATGATGTTTGAGGTACAGATCCAACCGTTGGACGTGCAGGGTTGGTAGAGATATGATTTCTTATCCTCCTTCTGCGACGGGTTGTGTCTTTCGACTTGGTCTAGCTTCCGGGAGCAACGAGAAGAGCAATGTGTCCAAGATCAAGACAAGAGATGTAGATGCTGAAGAAAAGCAAAAAAGAAAAGCGGCAAGAAGACAACCGACAGTCGACGGAAGCGAGCGATTCTTATCGAAGTTCGCAAAGGAGAGTGCCAGTCATCAGTACCAGTATCTTTGGCAAGGTAGTAGAGATGTCTGTAAGTCGGGCTGGTGGCCTGGTGTTCTGTCGGATTGGTGCGATGGTCTCGTCCAATGCAATTCGTTGTCTATAAGGCGCAAGCTCGAAGACTGCCTTGGCTTTCAAGATGGTGGTGGTGATTGTAATGGCAACTCGGGAGGTTGAATGTGCAGCAACACCACAATCTGCGCCTGCATAACTGTTAGCGCAGGACTTGTGCAATGCATGGCTGCCTCTAGACTACGTCCTACGTAGCGTCGCAACGGGAGGTTTCCTCCGCAAGAGACATACTGAGATAGCCTGACCGACTCGATATCACTTTCGGGATGGATTCTACGACCAATTGATTGTGTGTTTCGAGTGTCGCAATCGTTGACCTGGTATCGTTCTCCCGGGCAACGTGCAAGTCGTTGATGGTTGGATGTGGTTTGGCGGTCCAACTCAAGAGACGTCGACAGTGGCAGATCGGCGGAAACGGGTTTGGATTTCGACTGTCGGGTACCGAATGACTGTGCGGGTCTGGCCGAGTCGGTATCGTCCCTACCTACCTAGGTGTAAGTAGGATAATTCGTTCGTATGTATGTCGGCGACCGTAAATTGGGCGACAGAAGGTATTGTCGATGCAGCTCACGAGAAGGAGGCTTCCAGATAGGGCAGGGGGGGAAAGGGCGAAAATTAAGGTGATGGATTGAAGTAGTGTGTGGCAGTTGTGGGAAAGACTGGTGGTCAGTCACCGGCGGTCGGGTAAATCGGTGGTACAACTGGGCAGCCAAGTGAAAGTGAATTGGTCGAGAACCTGAAGTGTCCTTCTCTCTGGTGGATTCTTCTCACTGCAGGCAGTGCGGTGGAGGTTGGAAGGCTGAACTTACCTCTGAAAGACGGCTGTGAATGGTCACTGGTCAGTGAACCGGACGTGCCTTTTTCGTGGTAAAACACCATTTCTCAACGCGCGCCGTCGCCACTTTCTTCCAATCAAAAGGTGCGACGAAATCGCGGGAGCGGAGGACGAAGAGGCGTCTAGAGGCGCAAGGGACCGCAGAGAGGTCAGTGTCATCCCTGTGCCACTTTACGACAAGAATGCGCTGTGGGAATTTGTTAAAGTGCCTGCAGATGGTCTCAATCCTTCACCCCTGTGCAACCGCCGTCATAGGTACATAATCTGAACCATTCGTCCTGTTTGTAGGTACTTCTTTAAGAGCTTGCAGGTTTTGTAGACCCAAGACGAATAATTGGAACGTTCAGTCTAGATCAGGTCGTCCGCCCATGCGTCCATCAAGGTCGAGGTAATCCAATGCGAACCTCTCAGACTTCGAGCCAAGCAACGGAAGTTCCAAACCTCAGCGTCAGTGTCTGCACACCACCTCGACATTTTCTTGTAGGTACCGTGCATCCGTCTGGCGCGCTGCCGTACAAGTTGAGTGGTCATCTCCAAGAAATCCATTTATTCTGTGCACCAATGAAACGGCGTGGTGCCCCTTCCATGTTCCCGCCTCACACACGCCCGCGCGGGGAACACCGCACCGCACCGCGTCTCAGGCCCCGCAGGCGTTAAAGTGGCTGCCCCACACCACTTCTGCAGTGACTCCACCTTCGCAAATGCGGGCCATCGCAGAAATGCAATGGAAAGGGCAGCCATTGTCTGGCCCGTACAATTTATGCAGCATTTCTCTGGTCTTTTCATCCCGTCAGGGAGCAACATATCATCAGTCCGTGGAGATTCCCGAACCCAATGCGCTCGGCTGGCAGCTGAACGAGATGAATGTCCATTCTTCTGCTTAATGAAGAGCAGCCATCCGGGCCGTAGAGGTCCTCATCCATCTGGGCCCCAACCATGGCGTAGGTTCCGGGTCACGTCACGGCAGCAATGGAGGCATCATTTTCTTACCAACGGCCATGGTAGTACAACGACCTGTTAGCCAAGTTCAGACATGACACTGTTCGTGGTCCCCTATCAGATCTCATCGCCGTCCACCCCTTCACCAGTTCTGTACTCCTCTGGCGCCCAATCCTTGTGCCCCGGATATCTCGACATGCTTGGAGGTGTCTCGACCTTGCTGTGCCGTCACATTTGGACAACGTTACACAAGATCTCGCTGAACCGATAGTCGCCCTGATACTCGAACAAACTTGCCTACTGTGTACAGGTAGTGTTCGACGACATTTGACTTTGATAGACTCTGTAGGTCAAGGCGTTATCTGCAAGCACTTTAGCCATCTGCAAGCACTTTAACTCTTGAGACACTTTCATTGCTCCCCCATTGCTCGATGTTGCGGAAACACCTTGCCTTGTCACTTGCTCACACATCTCTTGCACAGCGGTAATGCTGGTACTGCTATCCCTTACACATGTCTAGAACATTGTGTCGGTATCACACTTTGGACGTTGAATTCTTCGCTGGATGGGCACTCCCATATCTGGTATCATGAAGGATCCTGGGCAAATGGCATGCCCTTGTGCGGCTCTTTGGTTGGATTTCCTTCGAGCTTGAGTTGAACTATTGTGAAAGCAACCAGGCTTCCTGTATCAGAAGGACATGGTGTCGGATCATGCTCGCTCATCATGTGGAGACTCTTTTTGAAGTAATGAATGGAGGAAAGAAGAGAAAAAAATATGGGCGAACTTCGCAGTGTGTGTCTCCCGGTGACATATGCAGGGGATGGGGCGCATTATCATGCAACCCTAACCCTGCTGGTGGTCGAGCAGAGAAATTGCCCCTGAAATTCCGTCTCTAGCAATGACAGCGACGTTTCGAGCACTACCTTCTTCATAAGCTTAACTGTTCACGAGAAGTAAAGCTGTGTGCTTGAGTTTTCCCTTAACATTTGCTTGTACTTTGTTAGTCTCTCCCAGTGTCCGTGGGTAAAGCTAGAGATGATGCTAGCTTCAGACTCTCCAACTCAACTCTGGGGCAAAGGGCATCATGCAAGCCAACCGCTACAGCACTCTCACTTCCCCGCGGTGATTGTATGCAAAGCAGTGATGACAGGAGCACCCACTCAAGCCATCTCGCACCACTTGGCAAACCCCGGCTAGCGTTCCCGGGGACATGGCTCGCTCAGAATGCCCGTCTGGGCCGGTGTGATAAGCCTCGCAGCAGCATCTATATGCCATCTGGACTTCGTGGCACCTCTGCTGAAGCTTTCTTGTCCTCTTCAGCTCCAAGCTGGTTCAGGTGAGCTTCCAGATCGGGTTCCTTGTCTCGTCGTCCTGTAGTCGAGATGCGATGATGCCCAATGCTCTCCTGAGGCGGTTTCATCACTTGAGTTACATATCGAAGATGGTTGGAGCAGATGATATCTCTCAGGAAATCCGAAAGCAGCTGAGACAGCCAACTGAAGATGTGCCACGAAGCGAGACCCAGACTGTGATCGTAGCACACAGTCCTTCAACTCGACGATGATGGTTGACAGATGCATGAATGATGACCGTGGATGGACGTCTTTCCTTGCCTGGTCCGTCTGGATGCGATAGTACTACTTTCAGTGGCGAATCCCAGCGTCCCCGACCCATCTCCGCGTGTGAACCACCGTAATCTAATGCTCTTGACAGTTTGACAGAAGCGGGGAGAACTGACAGATAATACCACGTGGTTGGCACTGGGGCATTCACGACGCTGTCGGGAGGGGAGGTGGGACGTAAGGCCTGGATCGCTGCAGGATGGCGTACCCACAACTAGGCTCCTAGGGCAGTGGATGAGCAAGGCCACTTTCTTGGTTGCCGAGGCCTTTTTCCAGAACGTCTCGGGCTGGGGAACCTCCAGCCAGTCGGTGTTATCATCGCCGATTCTCGTTCCCACTGGGCGGGCACCCAAAGGGAATGTTCTCCGCGCCGACGCGCCCTCCTCCTCGAAGTCTCGATCGATGACTGGAAATCATCATATACAGGACCTCGCATGTCCTTGACGGTGGTCATCTCAGAACGCGTCAAGGCCGTAGGGTCGACGGGTGAGGAGAAGGACACCGAAAAATACGCCGGCGCACAATCTAGGCCTTGTCAGCGGCAGTTTTCATGCAGGACATCGCAGGTTTGACGCTTACCCGGTATGACAAGGAAGGCCCTGGGAGGGTTGAGCGTGGTGACCAATGCAATGACTTGCTTGGTTCAGAACCCAAGACGCCAAACCTCAAATGCTCTCCCGTTGCAACTCTATGTTCATGATCAGTGGGTCGATGATGTCGGATTTGAAGCGTACTGATGATGGCGCCGAAGAGCGGGAGGGTAGAAGAGCTGCACAGCAACACTCCCAGCAAATAGTTGGATATTTTCAGGTCGTCATGACAAGCCGAAGTCTTCTGAAGAACACATTGGCCGAGGAGGAGGAGGATGATGAATCATTTTGCGGCTGGCTCTAGCAACTTTCGGTGTTCTGGGCTATCGGCACTCAGCGACAGAGCGGCTTGAACGGCGCGACGTATCCGAACGTGGTCGTTTTTCTGATGTTCTTTCCCACCCAGAGTCATTTCCCGACCTTAGGGGATCAACTGAGCAACTCCCAAGCTTCAAACGGCTCGAAAAGGCCAAACTTTGCTCCAGTGGCAGAAAGACGAGTAAGGTATCAAGGAAAGCGGTCAAGTTACGAACAGTACGCGTGCAGAACTCGCCAAGATGCGATGTCCATCCGCAAACCGTAAATTGAGATACTTTGGGACCAGTAAATCTTGTGACTTGTGTCTTTCGTAGAAATAATGGCACTGAGATGGGTTCAACTTCGGGGGAACTGGATTCGCAAAGCTGGTAGCTAGGAAGTTGGAGGTTTCGGAGAGCGTGGTTTCAGGGTTGATATGGGTGAATTGGTGATGGACAGATGAACAGAAAAAAATGCGTTTGAACAACGGAAGGATATATTGGTTTCGCCAGAGAATGGAAGTTTCCCAATTTCAAGAATATTGTCCACCGCCATCATCATGTCTCCCAGGCGATGAGGAAGTCGCAACCCAAAGCGGAAACCCCCAAATATCATGAAGCCCCGGTCACAAAGCGTACCTCTATAGTACAAGGTTGGCAGCTGCGAGACATACCGCAGCACTTTTCTGTCACCTGCCCATCAACAGCCCCGGCAGGCTCATTGCCGGCCCTCAACTGCCCTGCTGTGAGCGCTGTGAGACAGTGCGCACCTGCAGCTTCCTAGGTTCTCCCGCGAACCTTGCTGTCCCACTCCGTCATCTTATCGCACGATAAGAGCTTAGTTCGAGTCCATCACCAGGTCATCGCATCAACACTCGCATCAATTCAATCCGTCCACTTTTCCAGTTCTATCTCCAAGCTCCCTTTTAACCGTTCCTCCAATCTGTTTCAAGATCAATTGATACCTCACACAAACATAATCTCGGAAGCAGACCACACAATGGCCTCAACAACCACAGACCCAACGCCAACCACCCAGTATGGCGGCAACAACAACCCCATTGCCCGCGGCGCCCTAATAGTCGTCGAAGGTCTCGACCGCAGCGGCAAAACGACCCAAGTCAAGCTTTTGGAGGACCGCTTCCTGAAAGCCGGGAAGAAAGTCAAGACCATGCGATTCCCCGACCGAACGACGCCCATCGGCCAGATGATCGATTCGTACCTCAAGTCGCAGGCGCAAATGGACGATCATGTTATTCATTTGCTGTTTAGTGCCAATCGATGGGAGGCTGTGTATGTTTTCTTGCTTTCTTTCTTTCTTTTTCTTTCTTCTTTTTCCTCTTTTCTACTCTTTTTCTCCTTCTCCCATGCCCCTCTATTGGCCATTAAGACGGTACATATACAAACATTAGGCAGACAGACTAACAAGATTCAATTAAACAGAAAAACAATCACCTCGGAACTATCCCAAGGCACCACCCTCATTCTCGACAGGTACTACCACTCGGGCATCGTCTACTCGGCCGCCAAACAAAACCCATCCCTCTCCTTATCCTGGGCGCGCGCCCCCGAAATCGGTCTCCCGCGTCCCGACCTGGTCCTCTTCCTCGACCTCGACGAAGAACAAGCGCGTTTGCGCGGCGGGTGGGGCCACGAACTCTACGAGAAAGCCGAGATGCAGCGCCGAGTAAGGGAGTTGTTCTGGGGCTTGTCGCTGGGGAGGGTGGGGACGGTGACGGTGCCGGTTGGTGGTGTTTCGGCCTTGGGTGGTGCTGGGACGGGAGGCGAGAGAAAACGGGGTGGGGAGGAGGTGAATAAGAGGGAAGCGGTCATGCTTGCCGAAGGACCAACGGAGATGGAAGAGGTGGCGGTTGGAGCGCCGACGCCACTGGCTGGGGCTGCGGGCGGTCCGCATATTGATAGGGAGTATGCTTTTAGGCAGGAGGAGGAGGATTTGCATGTTATTGATGCGAGCGCGAGCGTCGAAGAGGTGGCGGAGGAGTTATGGAAGGTGGTGAGCGCGAGAGTGGAGGCGGTGGAGAGGGGGGAGGTTGGAAAGGTTGTGAGGAGGGTGTTGTGATGAACACGATGTGTTTTTGGGCGTTCGGCGATTGGGTGTTTTGGATATCAAACCACATGATACGGAGATTATAATGACAAAGCTGGATGTTGTTGATGTGTCCATTTCCTGGCGGTACCACAAAATAGACCTCAAAAGTATTGAGTTGAGAATATCTATCTCGTGTCAAAGCTCTACGTTTATCCAGGTGATGGTAGAGTTGGACCTTCTCTTCCTGTCGCTTTCTTGTTGTCTTTCTCCTCCAAGACCACACCTCCCCCGAAACTGTTAAGCACGGACCGAGAGGAATGTTGATGCATTAATGTTGAAAGCAAGCAACATAGCGAACGCCAAAAGGGGATATAAAGAGAGATTATATAGACAAACATGCCATACTGTTATTTTCTGAAGAAGTAGATTTCTCGCCGCCCCCCGCCTTGATGTTGAGATCCTCGCTGTTATATGAATTTGCCCGGTTGAAGCCCCCTTGAACGCCAGATTGATGCAACATGTTTGCATGCTTGAAAGAAATATGTGAAGAAATTGGCATGCCGTTGAGGCAGATCCTCCCTGTGTGTGTATGTAAAGATCCAGTTCCCTTTTTGTACTTTTCCTCCTCCTTTTTCCCTTTTTCCCTTTTCCTTTCTCTTTTGTTGATACCAGTATCCCCAGCTAGAACAAGGCCGCGCTCGACTAACGGTGGTATATCCGAATGAAGCACGACCTGCTCTCTAGGAAAGCAAGCTTAACGGTTGACACCAATCAAGCTCAAGAACTCGAGCCTCGTCTTCTCCCTCGACTCAAAGCACCCCAACACACAGCTGGTAATGGTACTGCTCGTCGTCTTCTGGACGCCTCTCATGACCATGCACAAATGGCTGCTCTCCATGACGACCGCGACACCCTGCGGCTTGAGGATTTCCATAATGGCATTCGCCACCTCCTTGGTCAACCGCTCCTGGATCTGCAGCCGGCGCGCAAACAGCTCCGCAATCCGCGGCAGCTTGCTGATGCCAATCACTGCGTTGCTGGGGATGTACCCGATATGCATCTTGCCCGTGAAGGGGACCAGGTGGTGCTCGCACATGGAAAAGACCTCAATGTCCTTGACAATCACCATCTCGTTGTGGCCCTCCTGGAAGATGGCCCCGTTGACAATGTCGCGCACGTTCTCCTGGTAGCCCTTGGTCAGGAAGAGCATGGCCTTGGCGTAGCGCTCGGGCGTGGCGAGGAGACCTTCGCGGTCCGGGTCCTCGCCGATGCATTCGAGCAGGGTCCGGACGGCGCCCTTCATCTTGTCGAGGCGCTCCTGCTTCTGGGCTTCGGTTTCCTCCAGACGCTCGCGGGTGCCGCGGGAGGGGCGACTTAGGCCGTCAAAGTCGATGACGGGCGAAGGGGAGCGGGTCACCGAGGTGGATGGGGAGACTTCTTCGGTGATGGTGGAGGGGACGGCGGCGGCGGCGGTGGAGGAGGTGGTCTTTCTCTTCTTCTTCTTGGAGGGCGACTCTTCGGGCTTGTCCGAGGGATCGCGGGCGGGCTTGCTAACGCTGGATCGCCTCTCGCCGCTGGAGTGGGCGCGCTTCTTGCTGCTCTTCTTGTCCTTCTTGTTGTTGGTGCCGTTGGCGATGGGGGGGCTGACTGAGCCCGAGGGGCTGTCGGAGCCGTCGCGCGTCGTCTCTTGAGCCATTGTGTATGTATGTATGTGTAAGTAGTACGTGGGAGGTGATGGGTGGTAGGAATAGGGTGGTATAGAGTGATGTTTCGGTAGGAATTGGCTGCGTAGAGGGAAGAAAGAAAAAACCGGAAGAAGATCAATTGCGAGAGAGTCGGGTGACTGACTGACTCTTGCAATGGATTGCGAACAACTACCTATGGATGGGTGGGTAAGTGGTCAAGGAAAGTCCTGACTGACTCTTGTGCGGCAACCCCAATGTTTCGTCGGTCCAGGGAAGAAGGGAAAATAAAACCGGGGACTGGGTCTAGGCAGGCGGAGGAGTGGAAATTTTGAGCGCCGATTGCAGGAGGGCAAACCAACAGCTTTGGGGAATCTAGACGCGCTAGACCCAACCAGGCCTGTTAGTCTTATCTTATCGCCGTTGACGTCAACTTTTCTGCAAGGGCAAAGCCTGCGTTCTGGACTGATTCTGGGGACGAAATGGGGCGGGCTTGTTCGGGGTTCAGTTCTGTGTGAAATTCGGCTTTGTTTCACTTTTGGAGTTTGGCCACTTTGACCTGGTGATGCCAACTGCGACTGCATCGTGCATTCATGGTCTGACTTCCATGGTGCAGAAAAATAAGCTTGATGGGGTCAACGGCTGCCAAGAAAAGAAGGCATCAAAACTGAAGGGTCTTTTTTAAGGTTCGGCCGAGGGTTCCACAGAGTGTCTTCGAACGGGGCCGGGCCGATGACTTGTGCGTATTTGTTTCTTATGTAGCTTGGTACTTCCTGGTATACTTGACGAGATCTATCCCGAATTGTCCCAACCTTCACACGGATATGATGAATACAGGACATGGAGTATTCAAAGAGATGACTACGCTCTCTACGGTCTGGTTATGGATCGAAACAGATTGATTGGATTTTGAAACGCCCAAGCAAGTTGATCCGAGGTCCCGATCAAGACCTTACCACGACACGGGCTTGTACCTCAAAAAGTACACTAGAATCGTCAGATACTGTAACCCGAAGGATCAAAGCTGCAGGTGCTACCAGATTTTGCACACTCCGCTCCTGAGTCCGGCAAAGACTCCCTTTATACAAAGGACGGTTTCGCGCGTAAAGTTGAAAACAGCGAATTCGAACCCAAAGCGGCTCAAGGCTACAAGTGAAAGTCATGGTTGTATTGATGTCTCAGCTTCTGCAGAATTGACAGGCAAACGTTCAGACAGCTGGGCTCTGGGGGGTGCGGGCTGCCCGTTGCTGGTCACGCAGATGCCCCACTCCACGTGACCACGGGTCGCAATTGCAGTAATTACGTGTAACGTACCGCGCAGCACCGTATGTCAACCGCGACAAAGAACTTCAAGTTCCTGTTCAACATTTCGACCAACAACCAAACTCGCCATCAGCTCGCCGCCAACAACCAAGTACGACCCACTCCATAGTCAATGGGCCAAACCTTATCCGCTGCCAAAATCCAGTTTTGACACCTCACTCGCGTATCAACACCAAACAATCAATCCGTCACAGAGCGGTCTCCGCTCCATCAAAGAGCTCAGCCAACCCATCAACCTAGCTCGCCCCGCGTCATCCGCAAACACCCACGACCTCAACTATCTAAACAATCACATCCCCAGCAAGCCGTCACCATGGCCTCACCACCGCACAACAGCTACTCCTTCCCCGGCGGCGCCCGCTCTCCACCACACCTCCCATCCCTCACCACCTCGTCTCTGTCTAAGAAACGCGCCGCCGACGGCTCTGGTCCTTCGCCCAACATGAAGCGCCGTAAAGGGTCCGTCATGTCTGTCGGCTCCGCCCACCCGCTCCGACAAACCTCCTTCCCGCCCGACGAAGCCCCCGGCGGCGCCCGCTCCCCGTCCGTCGACATAGACGCCATGTCCTACGTCAGCGGCACAGCCCAAAGCGTAGTCAGCGCTGCCGCCAGCGCTGCTCCCACCGTGCCGACTGGTCCGCCTAAGAAGAAGCGTGGCCGTAAGAGCAAGGCGGAGAAGGCAAGGGAACAGACGCCTAGTGTTGTTGGTGCTGGAGCCGGTGGTAAGCCGGGGACGGCGCCGCCTAGTGAGGTTGGTGGGTCGACGGTTGGGAGAGGTGCTAAGAGTGCTGCGGGCGGGAAGGACCAAGGCGGGCAAGGACAGGATGATCAGGATGACGACGAGGGCCCGACGGAGGTGGCGGCTACGGCGGATACGTTGACGAAGGAACAGAAGGAGGAGGAGCATAGGCAGAGGGGAATGCTGATTAATGCGTTTTCACCGGATCAGTTTGATCGGTTTGAGAATTGGAGGGCGGCGAACTTGAGTAAGGCTGGTGTTAGGAGGGTATGTTCGTCGTTGTTCCTGATCTGCTATGCTTGGGATTTTAACGCTGACTTGACGGTGACAGTTGATCAACGCAACCATCTCCCAGTCCGTTACCGAAAACGTGGTTATTGGCATGCGAGCGGTAGCCAAGGTCTTCATTGGCGACATCATCGAGGGCGCACGTCGTGTGCAAGCGGAGTGGATCGAGAAGACGGGCGAGAAGCAGACCGATTTGCCTAGTCCGCCGGCGACGCCTCACGCGGCTGCTTCCAACAACAATAACAACAACCTTGCAGGCGGCGAGGGACAACAGCAGTCGCAGACGCTAGGAAATTGTGCACAGACAAACGGCGAGAACGGAGAGGGTGGAGATGCAGCAGCAGTCGACAAGGGCGACGAGAACATGCCCGACGCTTCCCAGCAGGAGAAGGAAAAGGAAAAGGAGCGGGACGACCGTCGCGGTCCGCTACGTCCGGAACATCTCCGTGAGGCTCTGCGCCGCTACAAGATGGGATTCGAGGGTGGTGGTGTTGGCATGCAGTTGATTTGGCATCAACAGCAGCAGAACGGTGTCGAGAGGTTTCCTACGAGGACTGGTGGCCGGAGGATTTTCCGCTGAGTGTGTGGTACTAATTTTGCCAAGCACGTTTACCAATAGTACGGCACTGAAAAGCGGGAAAGTTGTGTTTCGGTCGCATTGTTGTTTGTTGGCGTTTTAAGGGCAGTTTATTTTGTTTCTTTTTTTTTTTTTTTTCCGGTCACAGCGCTTCAAAAGCATGGATAAAGACGGACAGATAGCATGAGGAGTAGGAGCATTGATACCCACTAAAGATAATTATTTCTTATTTTATTGTTACACCCGGCCTTTTTTCTTGTTGCTGACATCGTGAGGACAATCGCTTCATACTGTCTATGTAGCTACATTGCTGATGATGATTGTCTGAACCGACCATTTTTACCCAGTTGAATGTTGTTTTCTTAATTTCCCTATAGAACAAACTATGATATTCATGGGTCTGCCGCTTTAAAATTTGTTTCCGAGTTGTTATGCCTTAGCATATTTGCTCTTACTCAAAGACGTCAGACAGCAACACAAAGATTACACTTTTTTCCTCGTCATAAAGAGAACAACAGACGAAAGAGATTTGAACACAAATCGATCAAAAGGAAATACGAGTAGTGCTGACTAAATGTCCGTTTCAGCTACGACAAGACATGAAGTCCAATGTTAATGTGGTGGTACTTATCGAATACGACGTTGAACCCCATAAGAGTTGAGTAATTTGTGTGTCTGATGCGCAATGTTGTGTCTCTTTCCACCACCTATTCGCAAACATTAAGTTGCTTTCAGATCGTCCAAGTCCCCTACACGGCACAGCTACTAGCTGTAGGTGTGTTTCTATCATTGAAATCCACGATAACCCAGAGCGTTTGGACGTAAACTCAATTCTTGGGAATAAAGACTTATGTTATTTCCCGCTCCCAACCAGAGAACCCGTCCATTCTCAAGCACAGAGTTCTCCAGAGGTACCACATATCACAGTCAGGTCTGCACGATATTCGCAACGCGAACCATTTTCATTTCTCGGATTTATCTGATTGTTCAATTTTGGCATGTCTTTGCCACAGCAGGATCATACACTCTCTTGTGCCCGCTGCCATGATGATGGCAAAAGGTGTGACCGCGCCATGTCGATCCAAAGGTCCGCTGCTGAGCTGCACAAGCACAATGTCGTTTCCTTCCTCACTTGTACAGTATTCTCCTACTGCTCTCCATGGACTCACTCACGCTATCCATGTCCCGCACAGGTTTGGTCACGACGTTTCACAAACACGCGATACCCCGTTCAAGTTCTTTGCCTCGCTCATATAAGGCAGGCAGTTGGAAGGAGGACCTCGCGCACAAGCCGTAAATTGAGCCAGTCATTCCTTGGGGCATTCTCAGGTCCCAATACTGGCTATTTGGGGCGATGAATGCGGTTTTGTCCTCGTGCCCCCTCGCCATTGGGACTCCCCAATAACCGTGTGTTCCGTCGGCCTGGAAAAAAGGCTCGGTGTTCTCCGGTCGCGATGCACCGAAATAACCCCGACAGGTTGTGCATTGGCCACTGGAGCTTCACTGTTACGCCGTTGATCGGTCGGTAATCCATTACCACTCGCAAGTCTCCGTTGCTTTTGAGAGGGATTTTGGTATATGCAATGACCCTTTCCCCGCCGCCGTCAGTCCCTCCTCTCATCTTTCCCGGGCTCCGTTCTCTCCTCTCCAGGCTCCTCTCCCCGCAGCTGCCGCTGCCGCCGCCGCCGCCACCACCAACCCCTCCTCCTTTTTCCCGCCTCCCTTCTCTCCTTTTTTCCTGCTTCCGGCCTATTCTCTGCGAAAGCGTCCTCGCCAGAACGACGAGGAAGAGGACGATAATGAGGAAGAGGAGCAACAGCCGGTCGACGTCCTGGAAGAGAGTTAGAGCTTTTTTTCCCGTTCAGAAGACTGGACAAGCCGCAGCATCAAGGGCCATATACGTCTTCGGGACACGTGGGACCAGCTGACCGGCGGCATTGTTGTCGTCCCCGGGTTCTCGGGGATGTCAAACTTGTCTCGATCCCGCCCGCCCACGGTTGAGGATTTGAAATCCCTTCCAACCCTCCCTCGGTTTCCGCAGAAGTTGTTGTGAAGGAGCTGTAAAGTCTCCATAGTCCTTGCCTTTTCCCTTCTGTGGTTTTGTGAGTTGTTCCTGCTGGTCTGCTGAGAAGGGCTAGCTGGAATAGTAGTTGGGGCAAGAGCTTGGGAAACAACAGGAGAAACGGCCCAGGTTGTAGGGGATGTCGGAATGGCGTTAGGTAGAGAGCCAGTTGGAATGCCTCTTGCAGCTGGAGTAAAAAAAGGAGTGGGAGCTCCAAAATATCGTCCTGAGTTGGGTTCGAGGGCCTGCCCGAACTGATCTTCGAAGATATTGTATTCCCTGGCGTAGTATGATGTGTTCTCGGTCGATGTAGCGGTTTGGTTGAGTGGTCTTATGGGCTGTGCAACCAATCTATGGTGCTCGCGGGTGAAGGGTTCAATGGAGCGAGGTTTGGTTGACTGGACGAAGAAGTTTCAGAACTGAAAACCCCAGGAGAAACCACCTTAAAGACCCGATCAACCACAGCCCATACCACCAACGCACCTTCCAGTTCCTGGACAGCAGCGGGCGGGGATGGGGTTGAGTGGAAGGTAGCGCCCCGGGTACCGTTCGACACTTCACTTTCCGGAGAAAAGGTGGCCTTCGACGGGGAGGCGGGCTGGTGTTAATCAACAAGTGAGTCTGTCTCCTTAGTTCCTGGTTTCCAGCTCGTGAGGTTATCGATCCGTTTACAGATATTTTCAGCCTTCTTCGCCCTGTATGCGGCGTATGCCTCAGGATCGTCCTAGAGTTTGTCCATCTTCGCCTTCAAGCGAGTTAGAAACATATGGACAGGACGCAACAATATCTCGGGATAGATGCTTATTGGTTTCGTCTGATGTGACAATACATATTGACTCAGACAAGAGGAATCTTGCTGGTTTATTGATTACATTGAAGGAGAAACATTCATTATCGTCCCCGAATTTTCGGAAATGTTGTCTCGCTCCCGCCCGCCTACGGTCGAAGACTTCAAATCTCTTCCAACCCTACCTCCCCACGGCCCCCAGCAATGGGGTATTTATATTCTAGTCGGGGAGAAGGAGGGGCAACGTCCAGCCGTTTACGTCGGCACCGGGACGAATTCGACACTCGGCGCCAAGTCGAGATTTAACGACTACGATAAGGGACTAAACTTGTCCGTGAGATGCGAAGAATGGGCCCAAAAGGGGTATTCACTTACCCATAAGGCGTTGGTTTGCACATCGCCGTTGCCATCCAAACAAACCCGCTGCACGCTGCGCGCGGTTTTCAAGGTCCTCGAGACCACGGTGTCGAGCTCAAGACCAATTGTAAGAGTCTGGGCAGAGGGTAAGAGAGAATAGAGGTAGGGAGGGAGAGAGGTACTGGGTATTGTTCGTCGCAAGTCCATTTGATCGTATTCACTTTGTTCAGGTTCGTGCCCTTGACGCAGTTATGAAGTCAGCCTCAAGCTGGGCTATCATCGGCGGTTTTTGTAACTGAACACCTACCTCTAACGATGATCCACGGTATCCACGTGAACGCTCCTCTCTTCCCCAAAGCGCGATGCTTGGTCTTCTTCAATATCTTCCTCCTGTTTGATGAAGTTGGCCGCTTCGGTTGCCTCACGTTTGGCAGCTTGCCGTGCAACTCGGCTCTGAGCATGCGTTTGTTGAAGCTGCTACTGTGGCCACCCAGATCATCGATGATTCTCAAGCGATGGGTTTCGGCACGGCGATCAAGGTGGGTGAGTCATTCGTCCAGTGTCATGTAGGTATCATTAGCTGCTCCTACCTCGCAATAACCTCACGTTTGCGACAAACTGAGCAGCAGCAACGCGAACGCCGACACTAGCAGCAGGAGTAACATGAACGCTAGCGCTACTTCCACAGCGAACTTCCCTTTGTGGCATAACCAGCTCCAGCCTCTCAATGAAGCGGCTACCGATTACGAACCCAACATAAGTGACGAGGAAGTCACGGAGTTCCTTGTCGAGCAGGTCAGAAAGTGCACTTTTGTGATGCCACGGTCATTCTTTGGCAGTTCCGTAGGCAATAGAGCGGTCGCTTCGCGATTGTAGGTATATCAAAATGCGAGGTATCATCGTTCTGGCCGCAACCGGTGGAAAACGAAAGAATGCATTCAAGGAGTCAAGCTTGGCCCGGAACAGTACCTATGTTTGGTTTCGTTCCTTTCGGGCAGTGACTGGGGACCTGATGGGTCTGACGGGTTGAACTGGTCTCGTGGAGGACGGGGGACGGTGGACGACGACGAGAGGACTCTGCTCTGGGCGGATCAGCGGCCATCACCTCCGGATTGGGAGATGGTGGCCGGCGGGGGATGATTGACTAGGTGACTCTCCGACTAGGCCGTCCAGGAGTCCCTACCACAGAATCGAAGAGAAAAGGCTGGGGAAAAATTTGGCAGTTGCTTGATGAGGGTCTTTTTGAATGTCACTTGGTCACTTTTTGTTTTGTCCTTGTTTCCTCCGTAGCGTGGTGTAGAAATACGCCCCGGGATATGCATTTCCTGGCCTTGAGGCAAGTTGACCAATGATCTACGCCAAGATTCCCCCGCATTACGCCAAGCCGGTCCACTCACACCTGGGTTTCTGGCCCTGTTTTGTCGCCATGGACCACTGACTTCCCGCTGGCAAACCACAGCTCAGTTCGAGCAGCAATTCATCATCCTCTCCCAAAGACGAAACACTCCAAAGCTGCAGCAACGGGCAGATCACGCTTCTTTTTCTGGGATCAAGTCAGGGCACAATGTTGAAGATGTGGCCCGATACCGTGAATGCGGGCGACCCTGCTGCCACCAAGCTTGAAAGAAGGACCAGAGGAGGAGGACATGAAATACCTCTGGAGAAGACATCAATTATTCGCACACACCACACCAGGAACAATCACACCCTCCCTGATCAACAGCCGACACGAGCCACACTTGATTGTCCACAGCCCCGGTACGAAGGTATACTACACCAATGTTTATGTACAGGGTGACGTCGCCGGTCGAAGGAATCTCGCATCTGGCTACAACCGGCCTCTGGCAACCAATCGCCATCGAGAGGTAAACTCCGGATTCGCATGACAATTTCTCCTTTGTGCTAAATCCAGAGTCCATTTGCAGTTGGATACTATGTCTTGGTCGCCGAGTCGTCGCAACAGAGTCATCAGTCAAGTCGTGGGTTGCAGTTCAATTTCCGAACTCACAAACGAGATCGCGACGACCTTTGTCTAGCTTCGGTTGCTATTTTAGATGGGGGTTCTCGTCCTCGGCTTTATGTAGGTCAGCGGTTTTGGTGGTGTGGAACCCCAAAAGTCACAGTTTCCCCTTGTTGGCGCATACATTTATACCGCTCAACCGCCATGTTGCCCTCTTCAAGAAAGGTATATCAATTTGTATCAAGCCTCTACACTACGTAATACACGGCATAGGTTAATGTCGGGACAGCAGGTAGCAAGTGCTGTGTTGCCGTTTCGCTTGCCGATTTCCCAACGATTTTCTGTTGATCGTCGTCGTGGTGGCCGCTACATCATGATATTCACCAGGAATTCAGGAAATCCGACAAGGTGGACACCCGACCCTTCAATCCACTTTGAATCTTCAAGGGGATCCATTTTGCTCATGGGTAAGTGAACCTTGACAGCCCTCGTTATCTCGGGTGGTGAGACAATGGGAAATGCACTTGAACTTGACAAGTCTCAAATCTTGCACGCTTCTGGTGTATCCCGAAACCACCGTCACCATCTCCCATGTGAAACTCCAGGTACGTGGTCGGAGATATTATTGCCTGTGTCATCATGCACGGAAAAGGGTGTCATAATTCCACGGCTGGTCGGCCAGGCCTCTCAGGGCTGGTGCCGGCTGTGTGTCTGTGTGTGTGTGTCGCCTTGGACAGGCCTCCCCCCTGTGAAACCATCCACAACCTGCTCCACGATGCCGAGGCTGACAGTGACAATCATATGCATTCATCCACTTTCCCCAGATTTTCCATCTTCCCGCCCGCGACCTTTTGTCAGCTCTTCCGTCCATCCCCAGGCCAAATTAGCCCTGAATGGATGCAAAATGTGATGAATTCCAACACAATCGCATATGTCAATCGTCTGGAGATCAATCCTCATTGGATCAAACGGCGAGGATAAAAGGACGACATGGTTACAATCCCCCTTGTTGCCGTTGTCCGTGCATCTGAAATTGCTACATGTTAATTCGCAAGGAGCACCTGGTGCCATTCCTCCATCTGCGGGCGAACCAGTCCACGCTGGCCACGCCGGTCCAGGACTGCAACCAGCAGTTCGTCCGGTCCTTGTCCAGTTCCTGGCAGGTCCTGCCTGTCTGCTGTTCCGTCCTTCCGCCGCCGCAATTTGCCCGGCCGAAATGGCCGATGTAGGGCAAGTGCTCCGCAACACGAGCCAGGGACATGGCATTTATCGACTCCATTTTGCTTGATCCAGCCATTCATGGGAGCATCTGTAGCCCAGTGGAACTATGGCCTCCAATCCAGGGTGCCTGCTGTCAAGCGGATTTTCCTAGTCCCTCCCCCACAACGCAACGAGGACGACACTCGGGGTTCTAGTGTACCGCAAAGACTCGGGCCATTGATTTTCAACTTTCCTGGAAATTACGCATATGTAGTCTGTAAGCAGACTGCAACATTCATGCCCGCCAGAAATTATATGCAAGACGATGATTTTGAATGTCCCTACCCTCCAGCGCCCTTAAAAAAAAAGGAAAAGGTGGAAAGGGCAGGATACTAGAAGAATCAAACTCACAATGCTCCGGGGTGGCAACATGGCTCCCCTATTATTCTTTGCGTGCATAAAATGTACAGAATTGGAGTATGTATGTCTGATGATGCCTGATTTCGAGGAAAGTTGAAAATCAATGGCCCGAGTCTTTGCGGTACGCCGTGTGCACGTCAAAAAGTGCGAGGCGTGGAATGTGTGAATACCACCTCTACCGAGAAGACACTACTGTGTAGCATTCGGTGGGCCCGGGTGGGATGCTACCGTCGGGCTGCCAGCCACCCCCGTCTTTTACCACCCTCCTTTCTAGGGCCTTGGCTTGGGTCTTGGAAGCCATGGGAGGCAAGGAAGGAAGCTGGTTCGGTGCCGTTCTTTGACACACACAACCTTCCTTCAACATAAAAGGGGCGTCATCCTCCCCACCTGCACCTTCTTTCCCTTCTTTTGTCTCTCCACCACCAAGATACACACAGTCGCTTCTGTATATCCAGCCTCCAGCCGACTTTCGTTCAGCCCAACAACCTATTACACCTAATAACAACTTTACTACAACAACCCTAATTCAAAATGAAGTACTCCGCTGTCGCCCTTGCCGCCTTCGTGGCCATTGCCTCCGCCCAGGACATCTCTGTCATCCCCTCGTGCGCCCTTCCCTGCGTTGATGACGCTGCCACCAAGGTCTGCACTTCCAAGACCGACTACAAGTGCATCTGCGAGAACAAGGACTCTCTCGTCAGCACTGCCACCTCCTGCGTCATTTCCAAGTGCGGTGCCACCGTTGCTCTGAGTATGTTTTCACCTTCTACATCTTTCTTGGATTCACTTATACTAACATGGGATTTCCCCTTTCAGACGACGTTCTCCCTGCCACCGAGAAGTTCTGCCAGGAGGTCCTCGCCGGCGGCTCTGACGCTGCTTCTTCCAGCTCTGCTGGCGCTGCCACCACCACCACCTCCGCCATCGCCACCGCTACCGCTCCCACTTCCACTGTCGTTGCCACCACTGTTACCACCTCCGCCATCGCCACCGCTACCGCTCCCACCTCTACCGTCTCTGCCGCTCCCTCTCCCTCCAGCAGCAGCAACGGCACCGTCTCGATGGCCCCCCCTGCCTCTTCCAGCCCCGTCAATGCCGGCGCCGCCTCTGCCGGTTACATTGGCAGCTTCGGTGTCGCTGCCCTCGCTGCCCTTGCTGCTTTCTAAATTATCAGTCTATGATGGGTGGTAATTGTGTGGTGTGGTGGAAGTAATTACGATGGTTGGAAAAGAAAACAAAGTGAAGCTGGATGGGAATGGAAGGTGCGTGTGGTGGTTGCTTGGATGATACCTTTACGACGACAAAGAAATGTTGTATGAAAGTTTTTAAGTGTACAACTAGGTACAAATGAATTTTGTGCCGGAACTTTCTGTTCGAAATGTGACTGTGAACTACTGGACCGGTGAATAAATCACAATCACACGGAAACATTGCTAAGTGCAACTTGTTCGCCGAAAAATACCTCTCAACTCAAAAAAAAGTTCAAATTAGCAGTGCAGAATCCCGATCACTCGTCGAGCATTTATCGTTGAAACACAGAAACAATTTCCAGGAATCATAAACAAGCGCACAAGCGCACAAGCGCCTCAAGAGCGTTTCAAATGACCCCAGAAAAACGTGAGTCTCAATAGCGCCCTTTCAAAAGTCAAGTACGGACTCGGTTTAACCACCGATGTCATGTCTGCCTCATTTCTCATTTCTCTCAGCTTCAAACACCCACCCCAGGTCCGTCCGAGCCGTGATCCTTCCTTCCTTCCTTTCACTTCCAAAAAATGGATCCATCTATCCATCCATCCCTGCCATCCAATCTGTCTGTCTGCGCTTCTACGGCGTCTGCGTGCAGTGTCTGCGGCTCAATGCCGCCTTTTCCCTTTTTCTTTTTTTCCTCCGCCCCCTGTCCGTCGGGTCCATGTTCAGCAGCCAGTGCAGCCAGCAGTGCATGGCAAGGTCAGGCATGCATCGATGTTCGGTCGGCCGATGGATTCATCGATGCTGCATGAGGAGAATGTATACTGTGTACAGCTGTACTTCATTGGCAGGTGGCAATTACTGTATGTACAGGTGGCAGACAAAAGCAAAAAAATTGGTCATGAAATCCAGACTGGAACTGGAACTGGAACTGGAACTGGAACTGAAGCATGCCTGCCATCGATTTGAGAGAGTACGGATTTCTTAACGTCGCTTGGTTGTTCAACAAGCGATTTGTTTTCAAGGTTTTTCCTTGGGATTGCGAACGGAGGAGATAAATGACTTGAACTGCCCAAGACGAGAACGAAAGAGCAGGAAGTACATAGAGAGTTACATAGGTAGGTATGTCAGTTGAGGTAACGTGAGTGACCAGACCAGACCAGAGCGAGCAAGCGAAGTGGAAGCAGTTGCAACATTTAGTACCTGTACTATGTCAAAAAGACTCAGCCACCTTGGTTCTTTTTTTTTTTTTCTCGGGTACAGGTAAATTTTGGGTGGGTTACCTCTGAACGGCTGCATCAATCGTGGATCTTTGGATCTTGGTAGACCGATTTCTCTGGTCGTTATGTACAGGTACTGCCAGTGTACCTACCTAAATGTAATCGTACTCTACTTACTTAGGTATACTGTGCGTTGCAAGATGCATCGGGGATCGTTAAGGTTGGCCCAGTGAATAGTGCATACATACAGTGCATGTAGAATTTACGAAGTGGTATTGTATTGATTGGCTCGGGGTTTACCTAATGGGGCAGGTGGCAGAATGGGTTGTGGTTGGTGAGATGTTCGCGGCGAGGCGTTTTGGTTTTGCACAATGAGCACAGTATACTTTAGATGTACGTAATCAAAGACAACTGAACAGAGTTATACCATAGTTAGAAGAGACACATACTATGTAGGATAAAGAAAAAAAAAGGAGAAGAGCAGGTGGAACGAAAAGTAAGTTGCGAGAGACCAACAAAATGGCAACATTAGAATACTGTTGGTGAGTGGATTGAGGCTGAGTGGCCCTCCTACAACTCGGAGAAAAAGCTGTACGACATTCTCCATTACCAACTGAATATAAGCTTCACCTGTTACGCAAATCTACCGCAAAACTCCAGTCCGACCCGAAGAAGTGTCGTCGTAAGCTCAACAACCCGGCAGAGGGGAACAAAGACATGTTTAGTTGTCCTACCTGGAGATGTGGACATGTCGATCAGTCCCACCAAATTCGTCCAACGCCACCGACGAGCACCGAGTCGATTGTCTGCGTGGCATAGTGTACACACGGCTTTCCCAGCATTTTGCGCCGCATATGTCGGCTTGGCGGGACCGACGGGACACGAATGCAGGGAACTATTTTAGGACTGGTGTTTTTCAGGATTCAGCCTCGGGTGAGGTGGCGTTTTGAAACATTTACTCTTGGGGAACAAAGGAAAAAGCATATGAAGACGGACTGGGGAATCGTATGCATTCACTGGAATGAAAATCGAATTAGGATTGGGAGATGATTGAGACAATTGGACAGATGTGGCTTGTGGCGTTTCTGGGGAACATAGACCAGACATGAAAGAAGGTCATTGGGGAACCAAAGTTTTGATGTTTTGGGAATCGATACGTCCCCCGTTGCAATGAGTTTTATTACATAATTAGGTATGTATGCCCATCCATGTGCATGCAGACTTGCAGACACAAATGGAAAATGCAATTGACCCGTTGAGAGCCGCCGTTCCAAGAAAGATTTTGCAGACCAGATCATCGTTCAGCAAAGAAAGGACTCCACTTTCAGTTAGGTATCTCTAGGTAGGCATACCCGCAAGCGTAAATCAGACCATCGAAAGTAAAATCAATAGAAACCTTAAAACCCCGGTCCTCTTCCGGCTATTACCACCATCAATTCTCAACCATCCAGCTGCAACGCATTAATTTCCAGAACCACACCAATTGCGCAACGTGATGTCACATTTCGCAACAGAAGCATTCCCCAAGGGGGTAAGTAAATCGAACGCGCTTCGATTCGATGCATAACAAGCGCCAGACGGGAAGTAGAGATATGGATAGAAAAGGGGGAACGTTGTACTCTAACGCCAAAATATATAGGGGCGTGCAGTAGTGTATACAGTATTCAGTACAAAAGACAGAAAGGTGAACGGAAGGAAAAGGAGAAGATACTACCCTACATACTTGATTATGTAAATTCAACGGTGAAGTCTACGTACCGCCAAGATGGGTGCGGGACACAAATTCCTCGCAGGAATGGAGGAGGTGCCCAGGATACAGTACTATGTAGGGGAAGGAGCATGCAGTGCTGAATGGACAGGAAAGTACACCACACCGCACACAAGAGACGGAAAGTACTTTTAGGCAAGGTACCTAGCGGCAGGCAATGTGCATTCATTAACCGGCTATGTGGTCGGGTTTAATGCGGCTCTAAAAGTAGAGGTATGCATGAGGTGTTGACCGTTGAGGATTTGATAACAGTTTACGAACACCGGACGGCGAGATGAGATGTTTGGATGCAAATTGAACTCTCTGACACACGCTTGGCAAAAGGGGAGATAGCCGCCAAGACTGAGCGATGGAAATGTGTCTGCGTATGACGATGAGCGCGCACGCAAGAGACAAAGATACGGGGGGTTCCTTCGGGAAGATCACGCAGACAGAGTACGAGTAAAGCGAAAAATCGAGAAGAGGGACTAAACTAACACTGGATGAAAGGATTCATGTTGGATGGGAAAACTGGCAACATGTCTAAACCTTATCTGTTCAATGAGAGTAGGTAGGTAGTATATGCAGCGAAGAAAAAGAAGAAGACGAAAAAATATGTCCTTTGGCCGATGCGGTGTAGAGAGAGAAAGCCAAGAAAACTACCTACCTACTATGGCCTATTATAGTAACAAGGCCTTTCCTCCCGTTACCTACCTACCTATTCTTATTGTTCTAGGCTTAGCTGGGTAGGTACACTCGGTCAACAAAGGCAAATATTCCATCCCTTACGTTGCGAGTAGAGAGAGATGAAGCGGGATGGAAGTCTCTCGTCACTAGCAGATCAACGGTTTGAGAGGTCAATGGAAGGCCTGGCCTGGCCTGGCAACTCAAAAGAATATGTTTTCATATATCGTCACCACAAAAAATCTCAAGGAGTTGGTTGCCTTGCAAGCTTGTTCAGTGACAGGACTGGAACGGGCGGAACTCCGATCTAAAGCAAGCAAGCATCTTCGGTATCAGTACCCGTACGACAAACAGAGCCGAATCATGGCACCCTGGGATGTTGGACATTGGCACATTGGCACGGAGCTGCCTGGAATGGAACCCAGCACATAGTGTAGATAATCGGAGCATGTCAAAGAAGTGGAAAGACGGTTGTATTTGAGGAGTGGGACAAAGGCCAATGATCGGGCAGTCTTGTGAAGGTATAAAAGGGCGCTCCCCGTTCTGCGGTGTATCCCTTGCAATTGAGTTACACAACTTCTGCTCGGTTTCTAGCATTCAGCCACTACACGACAATTAGTTCAAGATCGGACCGCGGGGGCAGAACAGAATCACTTGGGAGGATCGATGAAGATGAAGAGAAAAACAAACAAGGACTGGTCCGCTCGGATTATCATACTACGCTAGGTACATCTTTTCCCGGCTCAAGTGCCGTCAACACATTAGGCCAGCCAGATAAAGCCCACATCGTCCACAACGAGGATCCACGACAAGCCACATCAAGTTTCCACGGCCGACAAGTGACATCCCTTTAGGCACATCCACCACATCGCCGGTATGAGTTCAGCCACGACACTCAGGCGGTCAAGCGCACCAGCTTAGCAATCATCCCAGCAGCGATCCATCAGAGACACGAACGAACGGAAGACACTGATCAAACAGACCAGCAGACAGCACTCAAACAAGCACAAGCAGAACGAACAGGCAGGCGAAACAGGCGCAACAGACAGGCAGGGCATGCAGGCCAAGCACAGCAGACTGAAGGAAAGCTCAACGATCGCTAGGGCTACCAGGATCTTTGGAGCTTCCTCCAGCACTAGCACTACCAGCACTGTCTCCGGCGGACCTGACGCTGCTACGACCAGAGTCAACACCAGAACCCAACGCTGAACCTGAAACAGATCCCGAGCCAACAGAGACAACGGCAGACCCGGAACCCGAGCCGGAGCCAGAGCCGGATCCCAGGGCAGTACCACTGGTGAATCCGTTGGAGCCCGAGGTCGAGCCACCGCCGATGGGACCAAAGGTTCCATTGTTGCCGGCGAGTCGCTGCTGACGAGTTGGGAAGCCAAAACCGGGCGGTGCTCCGCGCATCGAGCCCGGGGTGCCGAAGATGGTGTTCGGGTTGCTGTGCTGATGTTGATGATTCTGACCATGTCTTAGTGCAAGTCTTTCGCGTTCGAGTCTCTCACGCTCATCTTCATCTGTGGACTCGGTAAATCCTGAGATGTCACTAAGCATCGACGAGGATCTGCCTCTTGCCCTGCGTTGCTGAGCCGGAGTGCCGATAGCCGGTTGCTGAGAATGCTGTTGCGGCTGAAGGGGATTGCTGAAGGGTCCTCCGATCGGCGGCGGGGGAAGAAGAGCTGCTGAGCCAGTCTGGGGTCCTAGAGACGAGGAACCAGGTGCCGCGGCAGTGGCTGCGGGCCACAGAGTCTGAGCCGGCGAATGGGCAAAGGTGCTATTACCAGCTGCTGCAGCGGCGGTAGGACCAACAGGAGGCAATCCCCAGCCAGTGCTAGCATTATTTGCTTGCGGATACTGACCGCCAGCAACAGCCGCCGCATGGCTGTACGCCATATCCTCCTGCACACTAGACAGATACGCGTGAATCTGGTTGCTCAGGTCGGTGATCTGTGCCTGCTTCGCCATGTTCATGCTTTTAACGGAATTGATACGATCAGTGAGATGCCTCTCGGCCGTGGCAATGTCTGCTTCGAGGGTGGCGCGGTTCTGGCGCCGGCGTTCAGCTTCACCAAGGCCCTGAGCATTGGCATCCGTTATGCGCTTGTGCTCTTCCTTGACCTTGTTGATGCGGGATTCAATCTTCTTGTGCTTGGCTTGCAGGCTGGTTTGCTCATCTTTAAGGACCTTGACCTCGGACTCGAGCGTGGCTTTGAAGCTCTTGAATGCAGAGCGAGCTTCCTCATAGCGACCCTTTTCAGACTTCCAAGTGCTCTGTTTGGAGCGATATTCCGCAAGTAGTTCCTCGGGGATGGATTCAAGCTCCTTGAGTTCGGCTTCCAGCTGCGCGATGGCCTCCTCGGCTCGCTTCTCCTGGATCTTGTTCTGGGCCACTTTTTGCTTGAGCTTGTCATCATCACCTCCCGCGGACTGGACAGCTGCCGTGAGTTTCTCAATCTCCTTCTTGGCAGCGTTCACTCTACGGTTGTTTTCCTTGCGCGCAGTCTTGAGTCGGGCCTTTTCGTCAGCCAGCTTGATCTCGGCAGCCGCAATCGAAGCCCTCAGGGTGGTAACCGGAGAGTCGTGGCGAACGTTATCAACGCGCTGGTTAGTAGGTGCTGCCTTTGCGGGTGCCTCGGGATCCCTACTCTTAGCCTGGACGGTCCTGACATTGGCCTTGTAGATAACCTGGTCGGTTCGAGTGCTGACAAATTCGCATGCATAGTTGGATAAGGGGGTAAGTCCATAGATGTCGCCTGTCCAGCGGGTGCCTTGGTGCTTGTCTTCTTCGGTGCCTTCAATAGGAATGATGCGTGTCGGTTGCCATTTCGCGTTGTTGACTCGGACATAAAAGGGTTTGGCGATGCTGACGCCAGGGGTTCCAGCCTCGTCAACGGTTTCGTCATCAGGAAAGTCGGGAAAGTAACTGGTGTTGAAGCAGACTTCGTCGCTCCCAATGTAACAAATCCAAATCTGTTCCGGCTGTGTATTAAACGGCGCGTTCCCCAAGTTGTGGATATCCGTAGCGTTGCTACCAGCTGATTCGGAAGCCGCATGGGAAAGCTCATACTCCTTCACCATGACAATTTTGGTGCTAGCCAGGGCGGCCCAGAGAGGCTGTCGTATCCTCACTTGGGCGCTCTGCTTTCGTCGCTTCTTGTTCGAAACAGTACCCGTACTTGTTTGCAGATGGGCGTCGCTATCGGCTGCCATCAGCGCCGCGTCGGAGCAGCTATCTGAAAACGACACCGTCTTGCCCGCCTCCGGATCCAGTTGACTCTGTGACTGCAAATCTCGTCGTTCCCTGCGTAAATACCACTCTCGAATGTACCGCACCAGTCCCTGTGTAAGAATATGTATAGCCAAAACGCTTCTAACCCAGCCATGTGGACCCTTTTTCTCGAAAGCGCGTACGGTGTGTTCGATAGGATCACCATGACTGGTTGGAAAGAAGCGATTCGTGCCAAAGAGGGTACTCAGATGGGTGAGACCATTCCACCTAGCCTGTCTCGTCCATTGGGAAGCCGTAATGATGGCGACGCAGAGGAAGATGCTGTTTGACGTGCTAGTCCTTGAGCTTCCGCCTCCTCCGAGGGTAAGGGATATGACAACCTGGGCTAAATCCAATATGAACTGCTGCATAGGAGCCCATAGGAACAGCCATATGCCCAACACAGCCACGTCCATACAGACCAGCGTCGTGAGCGAGGGTGTGCCCTGGTTCCCATCAAAAATGTCGGCAATGGTCAGCCCGGAACTAGTGGTAACAGGAGGGACAAAGGTCAAGAGGGTGAAGAGCATGTAGACAATGGCGAGGAAAGCTGGAGACAACTGCATCAGGATGATGAGGATGGCGATGGTATCGTAGATCGGGCAGGACTTGAGTACGGTCAGGGCATATTCGACGGGACCGGGGTCACGGTGAACGTTTGTGTTCTTGGCATCGTTCACGTTGATCTGACGGTGGTTTTCCTCGTGGGAAGACTGCAGGGGCGGAAAGGCGAGCGACTCGGCGGACTCTGACTCGGAGTAGGCGCCGCCCAGGGAGCCGCGGCGCAGAGACTCGGCGGCCATGGTGGTGGTATTGTTGTCGTCGGGCTGGGCGGGGAAAGCATTGGCAGCAGTCGTGTTGTTGTTATTTTGTTGGGGGGCGGTTGCGGTGGGGACAGCATTATCGACGACAGCAGCAGTAGGGCGTTGATCGAGGGCGGCGAGCTGCTGGTGACTTCTTTGATGCTTGGGAATGCGCTTGCCCGGGCCTACAAGGCCACCTTCATGTCTTGTGTCGCGCTGGTTGTTCGCACCCTGCTGTCGCTTTGCGGATTGGGACACGCGAGGCATACGCCTATGCCGACTCAGAAGCGTGTTCTGAGCCAGCCGGGATACCGGTCGGGGACTGGAAATGTCGACGTGGTGGTCGTGGTCAAGGTCGGGACCGAAGGGGTTCTCTCTCTCGCCGGACGACTAGCTCGTGGTCGTGCCTGAGCCTCCCTCGTCAGACTGGCGTGGCGGCCTGCTGTGAGGGAGCGGTCGCCAAGGCCAGGAAGACAGATGGAACTCGAGATGGTGCGGGAAGGGCATAAAGGTGGACCGCAGTGTGTGGTGGGCGGAATCGCTATATGCTCTGGTCTGATTTGCCCATCGGGAAGATGGTCTTTTGGGGAACCAAGTCTGGTGTCGGCTGGCTCTTTTTCTTTGAATTTTCGAGGGTGGGCGGAGCTAGCCGGGTGGCGGGCGACGGCGAGCGCAAAGTGTCTATCGAATATCAAGTCTTTACTGTAGATAGGTATGGTCGATACAATGTTCTCTCTTAAGCAAGCTGGCGCCGGCCAAGGTGGGATTCCAGGAGAAAAGCGGATTTTTGGATCTTGGAGAACAGAGGTTTTCAACGGACCAGACACAGACACGGGCGGCACAAGGCGAAGGAACTGTCAAGACGGGACCCGACTGGGGTGGCAGGCAAGGAAGGGAACCAAGCAGTGGACAGGAAACAAGGGCCTTTTCTCCAGAATGGCAGGTCCGGGCAGGCCACAGTGCAGTGGTCCACAGAGGGAACGTGAACTTCCACTTCAAAGTTGTCCGCACCCACCGAGGACAGTGTGGGAAGGAAGAAGTCAGTCACTCAGTGTTTGCTTGGCTCACAGGCTCACAACGCTCTTTCTCTGGTGGAACCTAGCCGTGGATGCCGGGCGGTGGGGAAGTCGTGTGCCCCCAAAGAAGCCACGGGGAACCATGTCTTTTGCTGAGGTGGGAACTGAAAGGTACCATCAAGTCTTTGTCTCTCACAATTGAACACGTTTTGCGATGCAAGGTACGCGGCAGTACGTGAGTGGGTTAATCTCAACCTCAGCTGAAGCCCCGCCAATCTGACACTGTGAGCGGAGTTTGGTTGTCGCTGAGGCGCCCGGACAACATCTCGGAGTCTTCTACACCAACTCACCAGGTACAATATGTAGAGGTATTATAGACGGGAGTTGAGATGGAAGGAATTGATAGGTAAAGAGCACGACTCTTCAGTTAGGTCTTCACTATCCCTTCAACTCTTTCTTTGAATACGATCTGCAACGGATATCCGCATTTCTGAGCCCGTCTCACTTTTCTCCCATTCAACATGAAACAGGCGCAGCATGGCAATTGCAGTGTGCAGACGGATGATGTGATGTTCGTCAGCCGCCACCAGAATCTGTCATGTTGTTGAACCCTTCCATCCAAAGTCCCAACAGCCTCCAGTCTTTGTTGTACAGAATTCAACATCCAACATTGTCGATATCGATTGAGTGCAAGAGACGAAACGACAGAAGACACCTGCCTGCACCGACATGCCCGCAAATCCCCCATCTTCACATGCAGACGTCAACCCACCTTTCTGCCGACGTTTGTCAAGGATCAAACTGCAAAGACGTCAACGTCAACGACTTCCAACCCCCTTTCCGACCAGCAGCGAACAGCGGACAGCGGGTAACATCATGATTGCCAACATATCCCGTCTCCGATCCCATCAGACCGACCCAACATCAGACATCAGCATCAAGAAGGCGGGGAAGGAAGCATCAGCAAGCTGCCCAACCATAAGCGACGGAATCCTCAAAGCTTGACAGCGAACCAACCGACGGATTGGAACAAGGGAACTGGCTCTGGCTGGCTCACCAACCCGCCGCACCCGCTCCAGTCGCAGCCGCATCCCATCCATCCCTCCTTTCCCCCCGATGTCCCGATCTCACTCCTTGTCGATGATGCCTCCTTGGCAACGTTCTTGACTACACTAAATGCTACAGAAAATGCGGCTGCGGCACAGTGTGCAAGTTTAACCCGGTCCCTTTTCACAATTTAGCGCTGCAACTACACGCCCGGTCATTTCAGTCTCCCTTCCATTGTTTAATTGTTGTCTTGCCGTTCTGTTTGCAAGTGGACTGGTTGTTTGCTGGCTTGTCTGCGTTTACTTGAGATTCTCGTTACCTAGGTATCATACCTCTAGGCTTGTTTGTCTCCGTTTCAAAGATTCCGATATCGCCAGCCCTTTTTGGCTTGGAGTTGAGCTACCTAACAAAAGTCGTAACCCCCCACCACCATTTTCTCCCCCCTAGCATCTCAGATGGCAAAGAGACACAACGTCCTGCCATCTTGAGTCTTGGCTCCGCCCACAAAAGACAAGGGCTTTATATCACTCTCGACCACTGATACCACCTTCTACACCCTCCAACTCGCCAAAACTGACCATAATACCACCCAGTCTGCCTATAGCATTGAATGAACTAGGGGTAAAAAGGTAAAAGCACCTCAAAGACCACCGCAGAAGATCTTGCTGCCGGCATTTGCTCCCGCAGCAAAGCCTTCCCATTGGTCAAAAGGAAAAGAAGCAACTCTTGTCTTTTTCATCGCTCATCTCATTTCTTCTCTGCCCCTGTATTTGACTTTTCTTCCACTATCCACATCTTGCACCCTGTCAACTCCGTGGTTCCAAGGAAAACACAATGGTTATGATATGAAGACGGATCTCGATCTAATCGATTGATACCCGGTGTATCATGACTGACGGTTTTCTTCTACGTACAGGGAGTATATTCGTCCGCACCTTGTCGACAGATCAATATCATCCAGGCATCATATCAGCTTTTCTTTGTCCGGAGCATAAGCCGGCGGCGGCGTTTCACCAAGATCTAGTTATAAGCTTTAAAGGGTTTACGAAATACTGCGACTGCTGGCATTAACCCTGTGAGCCCTGGACGGCCCTGGATGGGGTGTGGAGTTTTTCAATAACACGCGACACCCACCCCGATGGGCGATGGCATGCTTTGGCATGAGCCGGTAGCCGGATGAAGCATCATGTGCTGTGGTAATATCTATCAGGGGCTTGACTAGAATATTGTCGATTTTGTTCTGCCTCATGATGAAAATGGTCATGGTCAATTTCCCGTCTTTTTCATCCCCAAAGCTGACCGGCAGTCATTCGGATCCCATACCGACCGACCGAATGACACCCCTCCCTCCCATATACTCACCATTTAGGTAGGTCATCACGACATCACCAGTCCCACCGTCCCTACCAACATCACCCAACACACCCTTCTCTGAACTTTTTACGGTTACCCTATCACAGCTTCAACGGAGCCATGAAACAAACCCCTCCGCAATCATCAGACTTATCCGTCCCAGTCATCGCACAGGTTGCTGCCAATTATATACCATACCAGTCATACATACCTGATCGATGTAGTAGGTATACCTAGCTCTAATATTGCAGATACTAGGTATTTTGCCTAGAGGTACTTACCTATATCCTTCAGTTCGTTCCAGATACGCGTACTCGGTCTTCCATACCGACAGCTCCAATCCAGGCCTACTTAGCCTCCCGTCAAGCTACCCCGCGATTCTTTTTGGGTTCTTCTTTGAGGGAAGGAAGGAAGGTACGAAGAGGGGTGACTACCTACCTACTTAGGTACCAATCACGAGTGCGCGGCTGCTGCCTCGAAGCACTTGAAAGTCACTTACCTAAGGTACTTGCCTGACGATTAAATTCAGAAGATAGGTACAATAGTAGCAGCCTGATGACCAGGTACCTAGTGAGGGGCGGGTCACACGGGCAACAAGTTACCTAGTTGTACCTGCCCGGTTTAGTTGCTCCAGACGAGCCAGCGAGATTGGTTCATACGGTGACTGCACGACTTAGTTTAGTTAAAGATTGATGAAGAACCGATCTGACGATGGATTCAATCAGCATAGTAAATTTTTCATGATAGTGGCCACTGACATTGATGTGGTTCATGTCATGTCATGTCATGCCATACTGCGAATATATTTATTATCGGCCGTCAGCTGCACGGGTACCGCTCCCGGTTGGATACGTACGTACACAGTTCAGGCACTAAACTGACTGACTTGAAGTGTGCAAAGACGAAGTGCGAAAGAAAGTACCGGTAGATACTGACCTATGCCTTCCACCTCCCTACCCTACCTAGGCAACCTTTCAGACGTTCTCATATGTATGCCTGCCGCCCTGAATCGCCTGGATCGCCCGGTTGCCTGTGCCTCCACAGCAAACGATGACGCGTCAAGTCAAGAAGTTGAAACGCTCGTTTCGAGCCTTTCGGCTTATATTCGGGGCAAACAGACTGACGTGGGTCTTAGCCCAGGATTCTGAATGTTTCCAGTTACCATACTGCCCAGTGAATTATTAGAAGCAAACATATGATGGACGCATATACTTGGAACCAGCTTCACTAGAGGTAGGTACCTATACGTGTAGGTGGAAAAGACTTTCGGCAAGGAATTTGCTGTCGTTAGACATACTAGTTCATGATTGAAGTCGATGTCATGGAGGGTTTATCAAGAGGTTTAGCGAAGAACACTTGATTGTTGAGGAAGGATAATAGATCTTGGTGGAAGTAAAGATGGGACAAAATCTGGTAGAACCTAGTAATTAATAGGTAGCAATAACTCATCAAAACGTCGAGATACCCAAAACGAGCAACAACATAATGCAGGCCGAGCAAAACATGGCGCGTGAAGATAGGTACAAATGGAACTCTTCGCTAGGTAATCAATCATCTTGAAGCAGCAGTGAAATCAACCACCAGAACACCGAGTATATCGCCGCCACCTTCCAAATCCCCGGAAAGTGTCTACATAGTAAAACCCAAGACCTGGTCTAGTAACTTCGTCCCCCTTCTACCTGTAGGTACTTTCTACCAAGAAAATGGTTTATGCTTCTCACCTACGCGAGTCCAAGATGCGTAACTTAAAAAAAAAAAAAAAAGAAACTACCCTTCCACAAATACCCACCCACCATACACAAAAACAACGAAAAAGGAAAGAAGAAGGAAGCGTCGAAAAAAGCGAGTGAGACAAAACAAAAAGAACAACCGCTACCAAAACTACGTAGTACCGCTCCAAACTATAAGATAGACTTTGACAACCGTTCGCCCTGTCGGTATGAACTCAACACTGAACTTGAAAACTGGACTGAAACAAACATCACAAGAAAGTTCATTCATTGCTCCGAAGTAAGTCAAGTCTCCACTTGCAAAAACCAAACCAAACCAAACCAAACCAAACCTACTTTCTTCTTGCCACTTCCTCCCAACTCCATCCATCCATCTCTTCCTCTATCGTACGTACGTATCATCCACATCACATTTACACAACACAGCCTCCAAGCACAAAATAAATCACTCCTTTGTCCATTCCATTCCTTCCACACTACACCCATCATCCAGCTTGCTACTTGGAACCAGATCCAAAATCCTGTCCACCTTCCAGTTGCTGCTGCTGCTGCTGCTGACCAGATCCGCCACTGCCACCATGAAGAACCTTGACCTTCTCGCCCTTCCTTTGCTTAATCACAAACTCGGCCATAATCTGGATATGATCCGCGGGGAAATGGTAATTAGGGAAACCCGGCACCCTCTTGAGATGGTTCTGATCGGGAGGGCCAAGCAACTCCACCACTTCGAGCGTGTTGGTCGAGTACCAAATATAATCAATGACTTCCTGGAATCCGGGCACGTAGTTGGTGAAGGACAGCTCGTCGGGCGTGCCGTTGAGATGGACGTACGCGGACCGCATGCTAAACGGATGGGCGACGCCGTCGCGCGTAAAGTTGCCGTACTGGTGGCCTCCAAAATCGGATTGCTCGGGCGTGACGCGGCCCATGGACAAAAGCTCGTAAACCGAGGATTCCTGCGTCGAGTTGTAATCGCCGCAGACGATGAGGGGAATGTCCGTGTTGGAACGGTAC